CTTTGGGCGTTATGAATTTCGCTTTTGATGAACTAGGATAAACTGTTTCGTTTTCTTCATTTGGTGAAGTTTCCATTTGAGCCTCCTTCCATCTCATATCGTTCCTAACCAAATCTCGTGGAATGATTATTTTTGATAAAACACGAAAGAATTCTTTAGACAATTTAGGATTGAAATTTTTCCTTCCTCTCACAGCATCGCTAATTAGATCTGTTATGTTTGATTGCGGAATGGTGACTCCCTCAAGTTTGACTTGTCCAGAACCGTCCCAAGATATTATACTTGGCTGTGTTCTAAGGCGCTGCAATATTGCTTTCGCCCGCTCACGCATAGTTTTTGGCACACTTTGTACAATGACAGAGTCAGCTAATGTCTGATTTTCGTTGTCACTTATGTTTTTTTCATTCCCATCAAGGGTGTCTACCACGCGTACCATGGGTATCTGATTATCTTTCTGTTGCTTCAATTTAAGGAATTGTTCAAAGTTTGCGTTAAAAAGTTTTTGTCTTTGATCGTCACTCATATCGTCTTGTTGAAGAATATGTGAGAGCTGCGAGTCTTTATTCATCATATTCATCATGATCGGACTAGTTTCAAGTTTTTGTTGTTTTTCGTATCTGTTAAATACATCTTCAGGTACAAGAATCATATGCTTGGCATGCTTCATTTTGTCAACAAACTACCTAGCACTGTCAAAACCGGAAGTAGTAACGCAGTCAGCAGATTTCCTCCTTTTTGATTTAAAATCTTTTTCTTCTTTGCCCTTGAAATTTTCTTGTTGGCTAATGCTCTGAGATGTTTCTTATACCTCGACAATCAGTGGCGTAGCTAGGGTCCCGCCGCCCGGCAGGAGTAGAAATTTCCCAAAAAAATAATAAATATTCTATTTGGACATAAGATATACATTATTTCACGAACAATTTGTAATATTATGTTTTATTCGTTCATATTTACGCTTTTATTAGGTGGTTCGTAATCGTAATACAGCAAAATCTCAAGATTTGTTATGTAACCTAGCAACCGCCTTTTCTCGCACATTGCATACTCGCGCGATTCTCCACGTATTCCGCCCATCTTCAGAGGGCGGAACATACAATATAATTCTATATAAGAAGTTTGGAATTCTGGTTGGCTAAGGGACTTGACGCATGCTCAAATCTGCTGTTTTTATAGTCGAACTCCCGCTATTTTAAATTGGTGGAGGTTGTAATTATTCGACCTTTTAATACGAGTACAGCGATTAGTGATTATCAAATTACGTGTCATTGTCGGTATTAATTTTCCATTGTGTTTACTCTCAAATTGCTATTTTGTATTTGTGTATGACACAATGGCTTCAAGTGCGACTGCGATTTGCTCAACTGATGTTGATTTAGTAAATAGCTTATTAGCTAAACCGTTCTCTGCTCGATCGTCGGTCGAACAGAATGTTATCGTTCATGAACGGCCTACTCCTGATTTAACTATCCAAAATAAGGGAAGAGCATTTCAGAGAGATTGGTATGAGGCGAAGGACTGGCTGTGTGGCAGTACAACCTTGCAGAAAGTGTTTTGTTGGCCATGTCTAATGTTTTCCCCAAAAACATCGCCATCGTGGACTAAGAATGGCTACAACGACATGCGGAGTATTATGTCTGATGCTAAGAAGCATGAAAAATCTAAATCGCATTTGACTGCATTTAAGACATGGAAAACGTATGGAGCTAGTTTGATTGTCTTATGTCCCTCGCTAGAAGAAATGAGATTCAGCGTCACAATGAGGAGGTAAGACAAAATCGAGAAATTTTAAAAACTGTTACTGAGGCCGTGCTGTATTTGTCAAAGCAAGAGTTGCCATTTAGAGGTCACAATGAGTCCGAAGGTAGCTTGAACAAAGGTAATTATAGAGAGTTTCTCAAATGTTTTGCTAAGTTTGATTCTGTATTTGAGCGTCGACTGCACAGTAGACTAGCAGAATCTGATATAGTTGGTGACAGAAGATTTACTGGAGTCTCCCCAGAAATTCAAAATGGTCTTATCAGCTGTCTTGATTCAATTATTGAAGATGAAATCAGAAAGGAAATAAATGATTGCACATTTATGAGTATTCAGGTTGATGAAGCATCTGATGTCTCCACCAAAGAGCAGCTAAGTGTTATTGCTCGGTTTGACAAAGCAAGTGAAATTATGGAGAGGCAATTAGGATTTGTGGATGTAAGTATGAACAGAAATGCCACAGCAATATCACAAGTTGTCAAAGATAAACTTGGTGAGTATTCTAATATAAAAGAAAAACTGGTTTTACAAACATATGATGGTGCTTCTGTCATTTCTGGCCATATCAATGGTGTTCAAGCATTGGTTCGACAAGAGTATCCTTTGCTCATTTTGTTCATTGTGCAGCTCATAGATTGAACCTGGTCCTATGCCAGTCAGCCTCATCAATTTCTCCTGTTAAAATCTTTTTATTAATATAGCTACATTCAGCACATTTACAAGCAATGCCCCAAAAGAAAAGCTTTTCTCACATCTAACAACCTTGAGTTTCCTGCCCTGGTGAAACAAGATGGTATTATCGCTCTAGATTAATCAATGTATTGCACAAAACTATGAAAACTTTTAGATATTTTGAGGGGTACTTGAACAACCAGCTGGGTGGGATGATGAGTCATTAAGTAAAATAAGTGGCTTACTGCATTATCTTGATAGCTTTCTTTGTTTTCTAGTGTGTGTTTTTTACAGGATTTTAGAACAGTCCACAATTTTGTATTCCATTCTTCAAAATAGGGAAACCCATTTTAACTATGGCATAAGCAAGATTGACAATTTCAAGCAGTTTATTGTGTCACTTCGCACAGATCAAGCTTTCACCGAGTTTTACCAAACTGCACTAGAAAAAGTAGGCCCACCAGCAACCAGAGCAGATAGTAGATACAATTACAAACAGCTTTATTTTGAGATTATTGATTCCATTAAAGGCATGTTAAGTGAACGATTTCAAGATATTAATCAGTTCGAGTTTTAGACCTTGTAAATCCTAAACTATTTACTACATGGAAGGGCATAGTTCCACAGGAGAAGATCAATCTTCTCAAAGATAAGTATAGTCCTCTTTTGACATCCAAACTTTGAGAGTCAACTTTCCTTCATTTACAACGACAAGGACTTTCACAAAGAGTGCAGTAATGAGGTTCTTAAATACATCTTCAAATTTAATCTCCAGTCGAGTTTAGGTCAAGTGGTAAATTTGTTAAAATTGAATGGTGTGTTGGCAGTGGCAAGTGCTTCAGTAGAGAGGTCGTTTTCTTGCTTAAAAAGGGTAAAAAGCTATTTAAGAAATAGAATGGGTCAAGGTCGGCTTAGCTCTTTGTGTAGAATATCTATTCACAAAGATATCATTGAAAAGAAAGAGGAATCAGAGGTGTTGCATAACGAGGTGGTTGAAAAATTTGTAGAAAAACCCAGGAGGCTGGCCTTTCTTTATAAATGATGAGTATAGTATGTGTTTTGATATTTGTTCGTATAATACATGGTACTTCATTGAGAAAATTAAGCATAACTTTAAAGAATAAAGCCATCCCTGTCTACTTGCCCCAATCTAAACAAGTTTAAACTAACAAGTAGAATGCTAAGAAAAATCTCTCTCTATGCACTTTAGAAGTGTCGTATACTATATTATTTTTTGTGCTAATACAAATTTCTTCTGTTTATGCAGGGCAGTGATGAGTAAATTATGTTTTAGGGGAAAATTGTCTCCTGCGTAACGTTTCTCTGAGCCACCTTTAGTACCTTTTAACTAGTTGCAGTTTCAACGATTGCCACATTAAGAATGCAGCTAACAAAATGGGTTTTATAAATTATTGTACAACAAATAATTCGCCCTCGAAATCGCAGGAAATGCTGTTTCCAAGGCTCTGGATTTCAAAATTTTCCGGGGAGCATGCCCCGGACCCCTATGGTCAGCCTCCGGCGCGATGGATTGGCGGGAGTGACTATTTTTCCTAGCTACGCCACTGTCGACAATTGACGTTTTTGATTCACAGATATAGGTACAGTTCCTTTTAACACGTTCACTGTACATTCACAAATACACAAAATAACGTCAGAAGGTCCATGTTCGATGATCACTTTTCGAATTTTTGGTTTAGATTTTGAGTACTTGCAAATACGGAAGATTCTTCCTAATTCGCTTAGACATAGTGCTTAAATGATTGTTGATGGCGATGATTATTACTTATGTACATAGACAATATGCTTTTCACCAGGCAGGATATTTGTTCTGACACGCATATTGTCTGGTGTGAGCTGATGCATATCCAGCATTAGATAACCGAAAGGGCGGCTTGTAGCATCTTGAAATGATTCCAAAAGGTAATTCTTTTTCTTCGGATACATTTGTCGTGCCAGTGTGGAGAAACCTAAAATGTCTCTAGGGTTTTTGAAAATGATCATGTAATGAGAATTTAGACTTATAGTTCGCGATTGTTTACCAGGCGGAAATAAATTTTGCGTTAAATACATGACAGATATTCCGCGATGATGTGACCCGCGGGTAAATAAATCCGACATTCGTTGATCATTAGAACACTCGGACATAAGATCGTCTACAATGACTAAAGAGTTTTGACATCCTTCCAAGACATCGGTCAAGTTCTCAGGGAATCCTTCGACGAAGCAAATGTTTGGAATTTTCGATTCCATTTCACCAAATTCACTTTGCCGTTCGCCATAACAGTAAATAATTTTATTCGGAACGGGATAAAAAAGTTCATTTAAATTATAAAGCATCGACCTAACCAAATAGCTTTTGCCTGACTGACTTTGACCACACACATAAAAGTTGGCAGGTGTTCTAAAACGTACGTCCATTGTCTCCCAAATAAAAGCAAACATGTTCTGCTTTCACTTTTATAACCACTCGCTAGTAAACATTTTGACATATTCAAAGAAAGAAGGAATGATTCGACTGGTTTGAATGGGGCGGTATTTGTAAAATAGTGACAAAGTACATACATTAAGAATACATTGGACATTGAGCAATTTTTATTAAATATTTTTCTAATTATCTACATCAATCAAACAACAAAGTCTCTTTGATTACATATGAACAAGTCTTACTCAAGCATATATTTATGACAGAAAATTTTAAAAAGCACTTGAGGGTTTTACTTTAAAATCCTCACAAGCATAGGCGTGCCTTTTAATCGTTCATTCATTTTGTAACTACATTCATAGTTCACAAGAGTTGTTTGTAACTTTTCCAATTGCCATAATGAATTCCTTGCTGTCTGCATGTTTTTTTTTTTTATGACGGCATGTGCAACCCATGGTGAAAAATGTGGTTATGTGAAGCGATATCGTATGTTAGATTGTTCTAACATGAATCTGAAGCATGTTCCTGTCGGAACGGTAAAAAATACACGAATAAGGATTTTGTCGTTGAGACGAAACAACATTAAAGCTGTGAATGAACTTGATGTTATTCGTGCGTACCCAAGACTTATGTACATTGATTTACGTGAAAAACCTCTGTCCTGTCCTGTAAATTTCTCAATGTTAAATGTGTTGTATGATCCGTGTCCAACCAGAAAAAAAGATTTGTATTTGACGCCTGTGAACTCATTTTCGTCTGTGACACCACTTTTTTCGTGTACGTCAGCCACAAGAAATCGTTTACCTCAGTCGTTCGTCAGTTTTTCTCCTTTTCCATCGTCGTTGATTATGTCCAACACATGTAAATCATCGCACGTTCCGTCGTCCCTCCGAAAGTTTTATGTTCATCCCTCGCTGATTTTTTTTAACATGTCAACCTCCATTTCAACTTCATCACAGTCGCTGTTATTATCGTCTACATCTTTGCTGTTGTCGCCGTCAACGTCATCAACACCTCCACATTCAGTGATATCATTTTCAACTTCAAAGTCATCACCCCTGTTGTCGTTATTACCACTGTTACCACCACTCTCATCATCAACATCACCACCGTTTCATTCGCAGCTGTCGTCTTCGTCTTTACATTCATCACCCTCCTTGTCGTTATCACCATCACAGTCAGAATCAATGGTATCGCCTTCATCGTTTATGTATTTTGTTCCACCAGCGAAAGAAAAAACTGTCAACTTTTATGTGTTGGTTCCTTCTACGTTAGTTTCCATATTTGTCTGTATAATGCTGATGTATTGCATAGTTCACAATTGTCGTCGCTGTTTCCCCTCTGTACATACCGATCACAAAGAAATGACTGCGTATTGTGTTCAATCATCGTCAGCCTTGTCCTGTGTAGAAATGTGTCAAACAACCTTAGTCTAAAAATATGTATATTTGTTTGTTAGTTTGCTTCTCATTGATTCAAAACTATTCATCTTTTTTTGTTGTTAAAAATGTATACAGTATATGTATGTATCTTTAATTTACCTGCATTGGCATTATATCTGTTGATCCACTTGTCTGTAAAATGAAAGTTCACTGTCGGATTGATCACTGTCATCTAGAAACTCCATATCTGATTGTCTTTCGGAAAAGACTTCATCATTTTCGAGTCGATTATCATTAAATCAATCGACTTGCTAATTTCCTCTTCTGACCCGCTTTCCATGTCATTTTCTTGCACAATTTTGATGAACGGATGTAAACAAAATATCATCCGTCACCGCATCGTGTTTGGGAGAAGTCTGATGGTGTGAACTTTCAAGTGTCGGCACCTTCGTCTATTATTATTCGTTAGTCAAAGACAACTTGATATTTTTTAATTTGATTTCTATTTACAAGATTGCGCAACCATTTTGCTCTTACTATTTTACATTCTGCTATTTCTACAGTTGATGGTTTTTCTACATAGTTATAAATCATTTCTTTTAACGAATCAAAGTTTAAAAGCAAGCTATTTTTAAAATTCAATGTGAAACCTCTTATTTTACAATGCTGTTTACCATTACTAACTGTATAAGCATTATTTTTATGACCTCCACAGACAAATTCAGTAGTGTGCTCGCCTTTGTCAATTTCATTAGTCAAATCCCCCAAATAGTCTCCCAGAGGAGGCTTTTCTGAATCAGGCGTTGCAACAAAAACTACGGTGTCCATATAAAATATTATGCAATCGGTCTAACACGTTGTATAATGCTAAACGTACCCATGCAGTAGTAAAAATACCAATAAAAATATTTGTTGTTTTATTTTCCTTTTGAAACTCACAATGACACTTGTAAATAAGTTCAACTAAATCGTCATTCAGTAATTGCATATCATGAATCACGGTATCGGCGCTATTTACTCGATTGTACAATACAAGCGCGTCGTGAATAAATTCAGTAATTAACATATCATTACTTTGTGCAAATTTACCACAGTGAATTCAAACAAAGCTTTGCTAGTGCTCTTAACCCTGCATTTTTTACAATTTTCTCCTTACGCAATAGAATTCCCTCATGCTTTAGGTAGTCATTGATATATTTTGCCTGGTCTGATTCTGAGGAAATCCATGCGGGGGTAGCCTGAAGCCTCTTGTTTTAATCGCAAAAAGAAATTGACATTTTCGCTAAATAAGCTGTGGGAGCTTTCTTCGAAATGCCAGATTTCATGTATCTCTAAAACTTTGTAGCCTTTTTCAATTGCCTTAGTCATTTCAATGGTAGTAAAAGTCCCCAAAAGCACGCTCGTTTCTGAATGATGACATTCTGCCGTGTAATCCATTCTGCCAAAGTAATTAGAAAGGTCTTTAAAGGTTTTGCGAATAATTGTGGGGTGACCCGTAGGATAACGTCGATTTTTCATAACAAACATGTAAAGACTTGTAAAATCGTAATAAAAGATTTTCTCGTTTTCTTCAGCCTTATGAAACAACTTAAAGCCTTCAACTCTACCTCCAAAAAAACTATCAGTCGGGCATAGGTCTGTTATGAATTCGTGTGTGTTTAGAAAATACTGCATTTGCGGTGTCTGTCTCAGTCGTTTGAAATCATGCTCACATATCGTTTTCACATTAACCTTAACTCTAATAATCTTTTCTCACGCTCAATGGTTCGATTGTACGCGTCTCTTAGTGTTGTCCCTCTGTGATAAGGATTTTCACCTCTCAAATCAAGACATAAGGGGCAGCCGTGATAAACTTTACCATAAAACTCATACACAGTATTAGTGTCTTCGCAAAATCCGTTGACGAAAATATTTAAAATAGTAAACCTACAGTTTCATAAATATGTGGACTCTAGCTGTGCTAGCCGGTTATAATTACCTCAAGGATTAAGTTTTGTCTACATTTTAAATTGTTTGACTAAGGCTTCTTTTAATCATATTTCCGTCAAAATTTTTCCCATGAAAATACCAAAATAGTAATCCTACAGTTTCATAAATATGTGGACTCTAGCTGTGCTAGCCGGTTATAATTACCTCAAGGATTAAGTTTTGTCTACATTTTTTTAAATTGTTTGACTAAGGCTTCTTTTAATCATATTTCCGTCAAATTTTTTCTCCACACGAATGATGAAAAATTTCTTCTTGCTTGTTTTCATAGTATAATGACAAGTTAAAATTGCAGAGATAATAATTGTTAAGACTCATAGCTATAATTTTAAGACAGTTATGATACATAATATTTTTTCCAAACCAAAACTGACAATGACCTTGCATGTTATTTCACAATCTTAATTGGCGGTGTTTGAAATACATTAGGCCTGCAGACATACGAGTTAATTTACTGTTTTAATACTTTAATGCCTTCATTCAATATGAAACGCACGCATGCCAAAGAAATAATCGATCCATTGGAAAATTACTGCTAACAAAAGAGCCTATGTCAATAATGTGCATGTAAAAGCACTCACAAAGTCTCAGGCAAGTAAACGGCGAAGGCATCAGCAAAGAAAACCAGCTAGAATGGCTACACAAAACACCATTAGACCGATTTTAAGTAAGTTGAATTGGATTACAATTTCAATGTTATATATGACTTAGAAAATTTAAGTTGTGATTTTGTTCATTGTTTTAGGCCAATGTGAACACTGCCACCTATGGGTGATCTGTCTACCGAGCTGTGGGCATAAAGTACATCGATCTTTGGTTTGAAGAGAGGCTAGTAGAATGCTTGCCATTCAAATGTCGGATATGCTTTAAAGTCAAATAATTAATATGCTTGCTGAATGTTGCAGTCGTGTTTTTTTTATGTAATGTCCATTGCTTTGTACTCTAGATGTTTTGACGAAGATGTTGATCGCTTCTTAGAAGATTTTTTTGAGTATGTATTTTTATAATTCTTTATCTTTTGAAAAGTGATACAGTAGAACAGTCAGTAAGATTGATTTCTTTTTATTTCAGAGTGATCGTTGCTAGTTTTTCCAATAAAATAAAAATGTTTTATTTCAATAAAATTTATTTAAGAATATCAACGTCTCATGTTCTAATTTGTTCTTTTTTTCTGTCAAAAATATTTTTCTCCAATCATTGCAAGTGTACTTGATAAGTTCTAGCCTATTTACTATCGGAGTCATGTCTTGTAAACTATCAAAGAAGGATTTCATGACTTCTTCCTCATCAATTTTTGATACTGCATCTTCAAAGTAAATCGCTACCCTTTCATCATTAGGCATCTTCAAGCATTCGTGGCGTTTTTGTGAGATGGTCAACGCGACAACCGTCACAGTCTTTTGCCACAAGTTCGTATATTTTAAAACCAATTTCAGTAGCATAGCACTTCAACAATTTATTCTGTATATTGCTTTGTTCATCTAAAACATGGCTCTCATCTTCAAATTCGAAGGACGATTCCTTCACTTTCTTTGCTTGCTCAATGTCTAATTTTAAAGCCATTTTCGTTTTAGTAAGACAAAAATTACCAAATAACTTTAACTCAATAAAATTGTAACGTGTTCTCCTTTTTTATATTTGCAAAAGAAACAAGAAAACGGATCTAATATTGCTTTAAGAATAGAAAACAATTGACAATTTTAATTAAGTCTTATCGTGTTTCAATTAATCATGTCATCCAATAGCAACCTTCGTTCATTTTATATCGTTTCCGGTTTACACGCGCGCCCTGTTTACTTCCTAGGACTGGAAACTAATTGACACGGCTAAGAGCTCTGTTTACTTCCGGGACCATACCTGCACCTTAACTACTTGCCTGTAAACGCAAGTTAAAGTTAGATGCGATACCTTCAGTGCTCGCTTTTCCGGAGAGACTACTATCTAAAAAGTCAAAAAGAAAGCCTCCTGCTAGAAGAGAGACAGAAACATCATCACCATGCGCTAAAAAAGCTAAAATAGATTTGCTCGAGGAAAGTCATGTTCCTTACAAGGGAACATGATCCTTTCAAATACATTCTGACATACAAAATGTCCCAAGACCACCTTGAGCTGCTGTTTGCATGCACACGTAAGAATGGCTTCAACAATAATCCAGATATTGTACAATTTCAGTCCAGTCTACGAAAAATTCTTTTAGAAATTCCATCATTGGTTCCAAGCATGCAAACTGTTTGACTTTCGAAAATGAATCTGCTGGTTCTACTTTTTCATTAAAATGGAATAAAAGAAATGCTCCAGCCTTTGAAGTAGAAGAGATGACACCAAAGGACACACAATATGTCAGTAGTTTAGTTTCTGGATTAGAATCATGCTCACTGTCATAATACAAAGAAGCAATACTTGGATATATTGCTGGGTTTGTTGTAAAAAAGATAATCAATAGAATCACCTGTACTGAATGTGCAAGAGCTCTTTTGCTTAAGTCAAAAAAATCATCATCAGTTCATGATCACAATTATTCACACTTCCAAACTACTACATCTTTATCTTTAAATTTAATCAGTTTGAAGAATCGTGGTGGTCTTGTTCTCCCTTCTAATGGTGTGACCAAAATAATATTTGCATCTGAAAGAGCTTTTCAAGTCCTCATTCATGAAACTCGTTCAAAAAAACAAAAAATTTCCAGCAGGAGAAACTTGAAGACTATAATGGTTCATCTTATTAACCAAGAGCTTGCAGAAAGAGCTTCTTCCTGAACTCAACGAGCATGATGTTGATCACGAAGCAATAACTGAAGATCTACATTCATCACAGCTTATCAAACAGATCATTGAAAAATACATCAATTTACGACTTTCGACCTATGGTAAGCGATATAATAAAGATATCCTCCAAAAAAACAAAATTGGTGTTCGCCAGCAATCTACGAAGCTTGTTTTATTTCAAGGAATCTAGTCGACTTCGATGAACATCCACACCACAACCAAGGAAATGTAAATCCTAAAAAAATAATTAATAGTGGTTTATTGTAAATAGTGAAAATAAGCGCATTTTACAACGATGCAGTCATATTGTTAATAGATCTAAAATTATGTTGTTCAGGTAAAATAATTCATATAAACCGTAAACGTTGTGTTCAAATCAAAGTTCTGGATACCTGTTATGCGATTTTGTCGCTTTTTTTCTGTAAATATGTTTTTGGTTTACGATAAAAAGCATAGAGAACAGCAAAGAAGATGTAAATTAATAAATACTCACGATTAGTAGTTCATACTTATGTAACTCTCAGCCTTTAGTTTATGGTCGCAAAATACACGTTAAGACCGCTCTATCTCAAGTATTTAAAAATTTTACACATTTTAACAATATTAAAGAAATTACTCACCATTTTTAATGCAACTTCAGTAGAACAGCATCATAAAACGCTCTCAAAGTCGATTTCTCTCAGCACAGACTTAATGTTTTTATATGCCGCCATTGTGCTTTGCCACCTTTGCAAATGGCGGCCGCGTAGAAATTTGCCTCACTCATTACTATACAAATTTGGCTGAGTCAGGTATCTAGTAGAATGGGTACTAGATCATTGGTTTGAAGCCACTTAGAAGCTGATTTGCCGCTTCGCGTGTATCTCGCGTGGACTGTTTTATTTGCGTGACGGATTGTTTTGCAAAAAATGTTAACTTGGAAATATAATGCTAGCCTAAATGTTTTATTTTTTTCAAAACCGTTAGCAAAATTTGGTTATTAATGTGTTAAGATGCTTTGTGGACGTTCCAAGACATGTTTTGTATACGTAATGCTGTATTATATAAAACATAAAAATGAGAACTTGCTTCGAAATATGAATTTCTTTTTTGTCATCGAAAGACCAAAAATTTAAGATAAAACTGATAACAGGTAGTCTGTATCTTTGAATGCTGTGCAAAATACACACAACATACTTAATATAACATGTTTCATAACAATTTTAGTGCTTTCAAGTTGGACTTGCTTTGCAAGAATTTCACATGCTCTTTTTGTAATTTGTGAAAGTGATGATTTGAAATTTTGAATTGTGGGTGATTGTTGGTTCTTGTCATTTACTTCTCCCACTTCTTAAGAACTGGTGGAAGATTTGACATGCATTCATATTTGTGTATTGAGCATTTTATTAGCAAGTTCATGCTTATAAATAAATAGCCAAGTGTACACTATGACAAGTATTGCTAATATAACCGGATCTACATAAATGCTAAAAGCAACCCTCATCCTGAGTGGTTTGAGCCAGGGTTTTAAAACGATTATAAAGCAAGCAAAGCTATATCATATCATAGTATATTTTATAGTATATCATATTGAATATAAAATTAGTTTTTTCTTGTAATACAGATGATGATAAATGTATATGTAATATATTAAATTTTAGGATGTGTGTTTAAAATGTTTGGTCATATTTGTGAAAATATATGATAATTCTATAATATTAGACTAATAATATTTTTCATACTTGTATTACATTACAATTTTTAATTAAGTGTTTCAAAAGTTATGAATATGGAGTGTCATATTCATTGTGTTTTTGTCTTTTTTTTTAATTGGGTATTGTCCCTTTTGACTCCTTAATGGTGCAATTAATAATAACACAATAATATGGCATAACACTTTTTTTAAAACGAACTCAAAATATTCTTTTGCTAACTTTATGAAATATTTTGCGAAGTGTTTTTCTTTTTGTTTACGCTCTGAACTTTCAAAAAGGACTGGGGCGAGCTAATTTTGCTCGGAAGCACAAAAATTACCGAAAAACAACGTTTTTTGCCCTGACAGCTTCATTTTCAAGGATTCAAACAATATTATAAGGATAGACAAGTATGTTTTACATCCTTTTAATGAAAAAAAACGAGGGGTGGGTGTCAGTTTTGTATTCACGTTATAAGGCATGTTTTCACGTGCCAAAACAAAGTTCGCTTTTCATCCTTCTAAAAAGAAGCTTAAACATGTACAAATGTCGTTCAAACTTGTTTTATATTAAAGTCCAAACATTGCTTAAGATTTTTAGACATTAAGCTGGCTCGAAGACTACTGTTTTTTTGCAAAAAATCTGGCAATTTCGAAGTGATGTATTTCGCCTCCGTACCCTCAATGGCGGTGCCATTGAGCTCTATAAGACCTGGAGGGGAAAAGGGGCCTGGACCATTGAGTTCATAGATATAGTAGGTCTAGATCATTGAGTTCTATAATAACTGGAGCGGCTAACTTTACTGGGGCGAGGTCGCCAAAAAAATGGCGGCCAACGGACGTATTTCCGCTGAAATGATCGCTTTGCAGAAAAATAACATTCTCGACCTCCCCCTGGTGTCTATAGTAAATTATAAAGAATTTTTCAAAAACAAACACGATATCACAGAATATGGATATCGTTAGTTCCATATTCTGTGACGATTCTTTTTGGCATTTCTTTTATAATGCCAACACTTCAATCGTTCATTTGTTGATGTCGTAGTTTCCACAAAAAGGAACATATCGCTTCTCACAGGTGAGGTAGTTGCAGTGGCGTGCGGTCATGCAAGCGTAGGCAAGCGCCGCTTGCCTAAGCATTTTACCGAACAAAAATTTTTTGGATCAATCTCTGAGCAAAATCAGTTTAAATTTTTCTGTTCTAAACAATGTCAATGTAATCTTTGTCTAAATTGTCTTTACAGTTGAAATGCTTGCTATTTATACGCGATTTACTGTCGTGGTTTCGGTTTCACTTTGCTACACTTGTAAGATGAGTCAAGTGTATTAAATTAAGTGGATTAAATTAATTATTTATTAACCAAGGCAAGCGCGCTTGCCTTCGAGCTCAATTTGAACATTTGCGCATGCGTTAATCTAGATTTGGAGGCTTCTTATTCGAGGAATATCGAGAAAGGCAAGCGGCGCTTCTAAGGGCGCCGCTTGATAGCGATTGGTCAACAGTCTTGTACGCTCGCAATTTTAAACACATATCAGCGCACGAATAATATTCGTATATTCAACACATTGGACATCCGAATTATTCACGCCGTTAATGTTATCGTTTATTAAAAGATGACTGAGAGCGAAAGGTAATGTTCTGATTTCTAATTCAAAGTAGTAGTAGATTTCTAATTTATGTATGTAGAAGATATTATCTGTAGCATGTTATACTTTAGCGTTATATAAGTCTTGCGTATGAGCTCTGAACGTGATTTCAATGTACTAGAACGCTATTAAATTTTGTGATTATTTTATTCACTAGCAAAGAAGTTATTTACAACAGTTGTGAGTATTCTATATGTTAGAATTTATTTACAGGCTTTTTATATATTTTGATAAACAAGGTGCAGTTATTACACAGCGGATAATGTACTTGAAATTTGAGTAGTTTTACGTAATTATAAAGTTAAGTGCGTAAGTTTAAGTAGCGCGTTTGAGTAAGTGTAGGATTGGCTATTTCTATTGCTAATACATGAACCTAGATGAGTAATGTACGCACGTTATGTACGTCACTACAAGATATCATGTAACTGATGTAAGGTATAAATAAGATTGATGTTCCTATAAAATATATAGCAATGCTATAATAGCATAGGAATTTTCATCCTTTTATGTTCTACTTCTACAATTCGGTATTTTCACGACACCTGTACAACATGACTGAATGCATTGTGGAATCACTGTTATCCCGCTCATTTGGATTGAGACCTTTTTCCGAGGAACGAGAGATCGTCGAAGGTGGCCGTCCCACTCCTGAGTTGCAAGGACTACATACAACATCAAAAGTGGTAAAGTCTTTATTCGAAGTTTCAGACGTCAAATTATGACAAGTACAAATGGCTGGCTGGCTCCTCAAAATTGAATAAGTTATTTTGCTGGCCGTGTCTTTTGTTCAACTCAACAGACAAGACAGTCTGGTGCAAGAAAGGATACGATGATTTGGCCAACCTGTGTAATGCCGTCAACAGACACGAGAAAACGAAGACACACTTGTCCAGTTGCCTAATGAAGGCCAGTTTTGGGCGTACACGCATCGACATGCAGCTAGACGAACAGGCCCGTCAACACATCTCAGCTCACAACTTGATGGTGCACAAGAATAGAGAAGTACTTCGCCGTTTCATTGATGTTGTTTGCTTTCTTGGCAAACAGGAACTTTCTTTCAGAGGTCGGGTGGAGCTGGAGGAGTCTGCCAACAGGGCAATTACGTCGAATTGATAAAACTGCTAAGTGCATATGACCCCACGCTTGAACAGCATCTTCATACAGCAACCGTGTTTTCTGGACTTTCTAATCGTATCCAGAACGATTTGATTGTTGCTGTCAAGGACGTTATGTTGAAAGCAATAAAAGATGAAGTGATGAGAAGCCCATTTGTCGCTATTTCCCTGGATGAAACCTCCGACGTTAAGACCTTATCGCAGCTGACAACTATAGTTCGCTATGTCAACCCAGATGGTAAAGCTGTGGAGCGCTTTCTTGGATTTACCGATGTAAATGAGGATAGAACTGCGGCTAGACTGAAACAAGAAGTCGGTAAAACCCTAAACGAGTACGGATGCGGCGAAAAACTGATTGCCCAAACGTATGACGGTGCGAGTGTGATGTCAGGAGAACGGTCCGGTTTGCAAACACGAGTAAGAGAAGACTATCCACATGCTCTTTTTATCCACTGTTGCGGACACGCATTAAATTTGGTCCTTGTTCAAGCTGTCTCGTCAACTAAAGAGTGTCGTATATTTTTTAAAACCGTCACTGGTCTTTCATCCTTTTTTCACGCCTCGTCCAAGAGAACATACCTGTTGGACACAGTTGTCGGCAGACGCATTCCAACTGGAACAGCTGTTCGATGGCACTATCAGAGCAGGTTAATCCATGCTGTACTGGAGACAAGAGCAAAGCTGCTCGAAGTTTTCGAATACATCATCGAAAATGATGACGAGTTTGACAGTACGACGTTAAACGAAGCGAGGGGCTACCGACAAGTTCTTGCAGATTTCCAGTTTGTGTTCTGCCTTAAAATATTTTCAGAAATATTTGGTCTTACGGATGTTTTGTATAATATCATTCAGAGTAAGCAGTTCGATATTGTCTTCTGTGTCACGAAAGTTCGCGAGACGAAAGATAAGATTCAAGAACAACGAACAAAATTCGTAGATTATCAAGTATCGTCAAAGTAGCACTGAAACGCGGGCAAAGTGAAGAGGATGTAAAGGCGTCCTTCCGTCAAATGTTTTTCTGTGTAGTCGATACCATTGTCGTGCAGATTGACTCTAGATTCGAAAGTCTTAACAGCAGAGCATTCGTTTCTTTGTTGGATCATTCAAAGCACGAATTGTACAGCCGGAATTTTCCCGAACGAGAGCTGCAATCGTTGCAAGATTCATATGGAACATTCTTTAATCTTCAAGCACTAAAAAGTGAACTAATCGTTGTATACGCATCTGCCGAGCTCAAATCGAAACCTGTTTTTGATATGATATCAAAAATAATCGAACTTGACTTGAAAGCCTGTTTTCCAGAGGTGTACCGATTGTGTCAGCTCATTCTTACTATGCCAAGTACGTCCTCCTCTGCAGAAAGATCATTTTCGGCTCTCAAGCGTATCAAAACGTATCTTCGCAGTACACAAGGGCAAGAGCGACTTTCTGCATTGGCTACAATTTCAATCGAGAAGGAGATGTTGGTAAGTTTGCAGGAAGCCACGATTCTATAAGGACGTTATAAAGGAGTTTTGCGCAAAGGAAAGACGGATGGAATTTACATTTAAGTAAATCTGTTGTAGGATTTTGGACTATTTCGTTCTGTTACTTCTTCACTACAATAGAAATGCACGCGTAGCCATTTACTTAAAACGACTTTATATCACAATACCACAGGTAATACTTTTAAACCGTAATTGTGATATATACTCTATAAAAGTTTTTGAATTTTTTAGATTTTTTCAATACTGTTTCAGTCATGACAGATACATTTTTTCGACAAAGTACTCCCAGAAATCGCGGGAAATGCGCTCCAGTAGCCTTCAAAATCCAAAAATTTTCTGGGGGAGCATGCCCCCAGAACCCCTAGATAGCTTCGCGGCATGCTGCGAACCTCACCCCCAGCGCTTGCCTATTAAATTCGGTCACCGCACGCCACTGCGATATGTTCCTTTTTGTGGAAATTACGACATCCAACAATTGAACGATTGAAGTGTTGGCATTATAAAAGAAATGCCAAAAAAGATATCGTCACAGAATATGGAACTAACGATATCCATATTCTGTGATATCGTGTTTGTTTTTGATTCTTTATAATTTACTATAGACACCAGGGGAGGTCGAGAATATTTTTCCTACAAAGCGATCATTTCAGCGGAAATACGTCCTTTGGCGCCATTTTTGGCGTCCTCGCCCCAGAAAGTTAGCCGCTCAGGTATATAGAACTCAATGGCCTGGACTCCGTGGTCAAAACATGGCGGTAATGGCGGATTTTGGGGTCAAAACTTCCACTTTAAACATTTTTTTCAATATTCACTCCCTCCTGATTTCCAATACTGTTTATACGAACGATAACAAGTGAAAAAAACAATTATGATACCGACAGCATATCATGTGAAAATAATGCTTCAGCATTGGGCGAAAACAATACACACACATCAAAATAAAGAAAATCGACGGTAGAGAAACGCATATTTTGGCTTTAACATTTAAGTTATTTTATAACATTTTAACCTTTAAAGGAAAATCAAACGGCATTAGTAGACCTGTCAATCTCGTCAAACTTATACATTATTTCATGCTTCTGTGTGTTTGACTGTTTGTAAACAGTTTGGTGCAACTATTTTTGCTGCTCAAATGGATAAATCTGTATTATAATGCTCTAAGGAAGCGAGAAAATGTTTGCTTCAGTCCTACGACATAAGTCAACTGAAAATTCACCATGGATAAGTATCATAAGTGTATTGTCATTACCTGATAAATTTACTGAAACTCATAAAGAAAGTATGTTGGACTAGAAGAGCTACTAAAAAGAAAAATTGAAACACCATATGTTGTTTGGAAATTTTTATTTTGTAAACTGCTTGGCAGAACCTTGGGTCTATTACTGAACAGAACTACATTAATTTTCCAAGGAAATTACAATCTTGGAAACTAAAGTGCATTGGTTTCTCTGACAAAAACACTCTGTCTATTGCTGCATGAAGGCAAAATAGTTAATTGACAGTGTAGGCGAAGAAATTTAACAAGTTCTATATATATTATTGTGTATTACTTACAGTCTTTTGAATTGTGTTATGTATGTCAAGAACAAGATATAATTTTTCAAAATGCTAAACCCTTCAAGCACGACTACTCTTATGTTATGCTTGAACAACTTACAGCTACCAATACTAATTATTTTATCTACAAACTAACTTTTGGGAATTAAATGATAAACAACTTGATAAATCTTTGTATTTTCCATCAACCCTTTGATATTGTTTCTTTTATCTCTTGGTAAAAAAGTATTAATGAAAGACTTACAAATCAAATTTCTTGAAAATATTATTTTGTGCAAAGAAACTAAACATAATTGAAAGGTCACATGTTGAAGACAGACTTTGTTTCTTTGACTAGGTTCCTTGACCATGAGCAATTTAAATTTGTTTACAATTTGTTTAAAGAATTCTTTTTATTGATTTGTACTAATTCTTCATAAGACACAAAGAATTTCTTTGCCATCTATTTTTGCTTCCTCTACATTCAACTTCATTGTAACCAATGCATCCGATGTGAATTTGTGGATCATCTGGAATCATACCAAGTATGGATTTGGTGAGATGAGACAATAATATGTTTAATTTTTCATGCATATTAATGATATAATCATAAGCTGTTGTTGAACAAAAATTTCAAGGTAGGAGCAAATCTTAGAACATTGCTCAACACACACTTTGCATAAATTCAACTTTCCAAACCCATTATAATTGTCTACACTATACAGTCAGTCAAATTGAGCAGGCAAACAGCTTAATAGTTATTTTTATTATACGGCATATACCATAGTTCTCATTAATTTTGCATGGCACTGCATTCAATTTCAACACAAGTCTGTTGTAAATTTCCTTCATCTTTTCAAAAAACATGAACAAATTATGCCCCATTTTGGGAGATAAACTCAATTCAAATCAGGAGAGTTTAGCTTGATCATGATACAAGATGGATGCAAAACTCGATAAAAATTGACAGCTTCGCCACGTCTGCAGTGGCGTAGCTAGCGGTCCCGCCACTCCCGCCCGGCGGGAGTAGAAATTTCCCAAAAAAATAATAAATATTCTATTTGGACATAAGATATACATTATTTCACGAACAATTTGTAATATTATGTTTTATTCGTTCATATTTACGCTTTTATTAGGTGGTTCGTAATCGTAATACAGCAAAATCTCAAGATTTGTTATGTAACCTAGCAACCGCCTTTTCTCGCACATTGCATACCAGTGAACTCCATATATATATATCTGGAATGATAACTACAATACATTTTATAGATATAAATTGGCCAAAAGTCCTAGTCTCTTGCGCGGTTTGTACGTCAGTTCCAGTCCTTCAAAGTCGAATATTCACGCGGTTTGTACGTCAGTTTCATTCCCCTGAGTGCCAAACATACACGGCCACTATAAATTTGAATACAAACTGCAAAAGCATAAACATATAAACAACATCACGACAAACAACACACTAGGCCAACTCTTCGCAAAAGGTTATTTTTTACAGCTAAAACTTTACTACAGTGAGTTCGTTGTAACTTACAACTTGTAACGAGGAAAAGCCAACTGAAAATTACACTTTATGCTCAAAAGGCAATACAATAAGAAAACATGACGAGAAAATATTCAAGCATGAATTTTTCTTTCGTCGGAAGGTAAATTTTCAAACGGTGTCAGACAGTGTTTGTCTTTTTTGTCGTTTCAATGGATTTAAAGATCTGTTTTTCCGAAGAAAAAAGAAACTTGAATATCCAGGTTCATAAAAAATGTTGAGTCTATAACTCGCATTTCACTTTTTACAGAGCGATTGTATCTTTCATCGATTTTGATAGTGCTTGAAATACTAAATGGTTGTCATCTCGATATCAGTAATTGAATATCCTTAAAGACTTTGATATGTTTTTAAAGGAAAACCGCAGCGTAAAGCATATCGACTAAGTTCACCTCACCCTGCTTCTCGATTTATCACTTTGATTCACTTTCCGTGAACCTTTTCATTCCAAAAATTTCGTTATTTTTACGCTCTGATCAAGATCCGAACTCTACCATTACCAAGGGACAAATGATTTAAAAAAATTAAAATGAACACGCGAGAGACTAGAGCCTGACGTGTGATGACGAATGATGACGACAAAAATTTTTTTGGCTTCAATTTTTGGCTTCGGTTATCATTCCAGTTATTCAAATGTCGAGTTCACTGTTGCATACTCGCGCGATTCTCCACGTATTCCGCCCATCTTCAGAGGGCGGAACATACAATATAATTCTATATAAGAAGTTTGGAATTCTGGTTGGCTAAGGGACTTGACGCATGCTCAAATCTGCTGTTTTTATAGTCGAACTCCCGCTATTTTAAATTGGCGGAGGTTGTAATTATTCGACCTTTTAATACGAGTACAGCGATTAGTGATTATCAAATTACGTGTCATTGTCGGTATTAATTTTCCATTGTGTTTACTCTCAAATTGCTATTTTGTATTTGTGTATGACACAATGGCTTCAGTCACGACTGCGATTTGCTCAACTGATGTTGATTTAGTAAATAGCTTATTAGCTAAACCGTTCTCTGCTCGATCGTCGGTCGAACAGAATGTTATCGTTCATGAACGGCCTACTCCTGATTTAACTATCCAAAATAAGGGAAGAGCATTTCAGAGATTGGTATGAGGCGAAGGACTGGCTGTGTGGCAGTACAACCTTGCAGAAAGTGTTTTGTTGGCTGTGTCTAATGTTTTCCCCGAAAACATCGCCATCGTGGACTAAGAATGGCTACAACGACATGCGGAGTATTATGTCTGATGCTAAGAAGCATGAAAAATCTAAATCGCATTTGACTGCATTTAAGACATGGAAAACGTATGGAGCTAGTGAACGAATTGATTGTCTTATGTCCCCGCTAGAAGAAATGAGATTCAGCGTCACAATGAGGAGGTAAGACAAAATCGAGAAATTTTAAAACTGTTACTGAGGCCGTGCTGTATTTGTCAAAGCAAGAGTTGCCATTTAGAGGTCACAATGAGTCCGAAGGTAGCTTGAACAAAGGTAATTATAGAGAGTTTCAAATGTTTTGCTAAGTTTGATTCTGTATTTGAGCGTCGACTGCACAGTAGACTAGCAGAATCTGATATAGTTGGTGACAGAAGATTTACTGGAGTCTCCCCAGAAATTCAAAATGGTCTTATCAGCTGTCTTGATTCAACATTGAAGATGAAATCAGAAAGGAAATAAATGATTGCACATTTATGAGTATTCAGGTTGATGAAGCATCTGATGTCTCCACCAAAGAGCAGCTAAGTGTTATTGCTCGGTTTGACAAAGCAAGTGAAATTATGGAGAGGCAATTAGGATTTGTGGATGTAAGTATGAACAGAAATGCTACAGCAATATCACAAGTTGTCAAAGATAAACTTGGTGAGTATTCTAATATAAAGAAAAAAACTGGTTTTACAAACATATGATGGTGCTTCTGTCATTTCTGGCCATATCAATGGTGTTCAAGCATTGGTTCGACAAGAGTATCCTTTTGCTCATTTTGTTCATTGTGCAGCTCATAGATTGAACCTGGTCCTATGCCAGTCAGCCTCATCAATTTCTCCTGTTAAAATCTTTTTTATTAATATAGCTACATTCAGCACATTTACAAGCAATGCCCCAAAAAGAAAAGCTTTCTCACATCTAACAACCTTGAGTTTCCTGCCCCTGGTGAAACAAGATGGTATTATCGCTCTAGATTAATCAATGTATTGCACAAAAACTATGAAAAACTTTTAGATATTTTTGAGGGGGTACTTGAACAACCAGCTGGGTGGGATGATGAGTCATTAAGTAAAATAAGTGGCTTACTGCATTATCTTGATAGCTTTCTCTTTTGTTTTCTAGTGTGTGTTTTTTACAGGATTTTAGAACAGTCCACAATTTTGTATTCCATTCTTCAAAATAGGAAACCCATTTTAACTATGGCATAAGCAAGATTGACAATTTCAAGCAGTTTATTGTGTCACTTCGCACAGATCAAGCTTTCACGAGTTTTACCAAACTGCACTAGAAAAGTAGGCCCACCAGCAACCAGAGCAGATAGTAGATACAATTACAAACAGCTTTATTTTGAGATTATTGATTCCATTAAAGGCATGTTAAGTGAACGATTTCAAGATATTAATCAGTTCGAGTTTTAGACCTTGTAAATCCTAAACTATTTACTACATGGAAGGGCATAGTTCCACAGGAGAGATCAATCTTCTCAAAGATAAGTATAGTCCTCTTTTGACATCCAAACTTTGGAGAGTCAACTTTCCTTCATTTACAACGACAAGGACTTTCACAAAGAGTGCAGTAATGAGGTTCTTAAATACATCTTCAAATTTAATCTCCAGTCGAGTTTAGGTCAAGTGGTAAATTTGTTAAAATTGAATGGTGTGTTGGCAGTGGCAAGTGCTTCAGTAGAGGTCGTTTTCTTGCTTAAAAGGGTAAAAGCTATTTAAGAAATAGAATGGGTCAAGGTCGGCAGCTTTGTGTAGAATATCTATTCACAAAGATATCATTGAAAAGAAAGAGGAATCAGAGGTGTTGCATAACGAGGTGGTTGAAAATTTGTAGAAAACCCAGGAGGCTGGCCTTTCTTTATAAATGATGAGTATAGTATGTGTTTTGATATTTGTTCGTATAATACATGGTACTTCATTGAGAAAATTAAGCATAACTTTAAAGAATAAAGCCATCCCTGTCTACTTGCCCCAATCTAAACAAGTTTAAACTAACAAGTAGAATGCTAAGAAAAATCTCTCTCTATGCACTTTAGAAGTGTCGTATACTATATTATTTTTTGTGCTAATACAAATTTCTTCTGTTTATGCAGGGGCAGTGATGAGTAAATTATGTTTTAGGGGAAAATTGTCTCCTGCGTAACGTTTCTCTGAGCCACCTTTAGTACCTTTTTAACTAGTTGCAGTTTCAACGATTGCCACATTAAGAATGCAGCTAACAAAAATGGGTTTTTATAAATTATTGTACAACAAATAATTCGCCCTCGAAATCGCAGGAAATGCTGTTTCCAAGGCTCTGGATTTCAATTTTCCGGGGGACCATGCCCCCGACCCCCAGGTCATGCCCGGCGCGAGATGGATTGGCGGAGTGACTATTTTCCTAGCTACGCCACTGCACGTCTGGCGAGCGATTAAGTGAAGAACAAACAAGACTGGACCAAAATAACTTTAAATAAAACTTAGTAGTAGAAACACTTCAAGTATCGTGTTAAAACAAAATAGTAATACTAATACTGTGCTACTTACCAGAGTCAAGAAATGTTCCTTTTCATCGCTATTTCAGCATCCGCAAACTCAATGGGCGGCGCTCATGCAGGCTTCAAAGATGGCGTCCAAGTTAGCCTTCCAGTTGTTGTCATTGAGTTCTTAATAACTGGGGGAAACGTCAACAAAATTAGTATAAATTATTAGCGCGCGGCCGCGTGGTCAAAAACATGGCGGATTTTGGTGGTCAAAGTCAGCGGAGAGACGCGGGCTCATGAAATAAAATTTTGTCGCCCACCCTGATTTGACCACCACGATTGCGAGTATAGAAAATATCAAACTACTTATTTTCCTAACATAAACACTTTTAAAACTTTATTTATTAAACTGCCAACTTTTGAGGTTAGAGGATGCTGAAATAGCGACAGAAAAGGAACATTTCTTGACTCCGGTAAGTAGCACAGTATTAGTTTTACTATTTTGTTTTAACACGATACTTGAAGAGTGTTTCTACTACTAAGTTTTATTTAAAGTTATTTTGGTCCAGTCTTGTTTGTTCTTCCAATCGCTCGCCAGACGTGCGAAGCTGTCAATTTTATCGAGTTTTGCATCCATCTTGTATCATGATCAAGCTAAACTCTCCTGATTTGAATTGAGTTTATCTCCCAAAAATGGGGCATAATTTGTTCATGTTTTTTTGAAAGATGATGAAAGTTTACAACAGACTTGTGTTGAAATTGAATGCAGTGCCATGCAAAATTAATGAGAACTATGGTATATGTTGTATAATAAAACAACTATTAAACTGTTTGCCTGCTCAATTTGACTGACTGTATAGTGTAGACAATTATAATGGGATTGGAAAGTTGGATTTATGCAAAGAAAAGTACTTCAGCGTTTCTGTAAATGAAGTATTTATTGTTATAGTAAACAGGTTACTACTTCAAAACCAAGATAAAAGTAGTGTGTTGAACAATGTGCTAAGATTTGTTTCTACCTTGAAATTTTGTTCAACAGTAGCTTATGATTATATCATTAATATGCATGAAAACTTAAACATATTATTGTCTCATCTCACCAAATCCATACTTGGTATGATTCCAAGTGATCCACAAATTCACATGGATGCATTGGTTACAATAAAGTTGAATGTAGAAGAAGCAAAAGAGATGGCAAAGAAATTCATTGTGTCTTATGAAGAATTAGTAGAAATCAATAAAAGAATTCTTTAAACAAATTGTAAACAAATTTAAATTTGTTCATGGTCAAGCAACCTAGCCAAAGAAGCAAAGTCTGTCTTCAACATGTGACCTTCCAATTATGTTTAGTTTCTTTGTACAAAATACTAATTTAGAAACTTGATTTGTAAGTCTTTCATTAATATTTTTACCAAAGATAAAAGGAACTAATTCAAAGGCTTGATGTAAAATACAAAGATTTAACAAGTTGTTTATCATTTAATTCCCAAATGTTAGTTTGTACATATAAATAATTAGTATTGGTAGCTGTAAGTTGTTTAAGCAAAACAGAAGAGTAGTAGTGCACGAAAGGGTTAGCATTTTTGAAAAATTATATCTTGTTCTTGACATATATTACACAATTCCAAAACTGTAATAATGCACAATAATATCTATAGAACTTGATAAATTTCTTCGCCTACACTGTCAAATAACTATTTTGCCTTCATGCAGCAATAGACAGTGTTTTGGTCAGAGAAACCAATGCACTTTAGTTTCCAAGTTTGTAATTTCAATGGAAAATTCATGTTGTTCTGTTCAGTAACAGATCCAAGATTCTGCCAAGCTGTTTACAAAATACAAATTACCAAGCAACAGTATCATGGTGTTTTGAATTTTTCTTTTTGTAGCTTTCTGGTTCAACATACTTTCTATATGAGTTTTCAGTAGATTTATCAGGTAATGACAATATACTTATAATACTTATCCATGGTAAATTTTCAGTTGACTTATGTCGTAGGACTGAAGCAAACATTTTATCGCTTCCTTAGCAGCATTTTAACACAGATTTATCCATTTGAGCAAAAAAATTAGTTGCACCAAACTGTTTACAAACAGTCAAACACACAGAAGCATGAAATAATGTATAAGTTTGACGAGATTGACAGGTCTACTAATGCCGTTTGATTTTCCTTTTAAAAGGTTAAAATGTTATAAAATAACTTAAATGTTACAGCCAAAATATGTGTTTCTCTACCGTCGATTTTCTTTATTTTGATGTGTGTGTACTGTGTTTTCACGCAATGCTGAAGCATTATTTTCACATGATGCTGTCATCGTAATTGTTTTTATTCACTTGTTATCGTTTATATAAACAGTATTGGAAATCAGGAGGGAGTGAATATTGAAAAAAATTTTCAAAGTGGAAGTTTTGACCACCAAAATCTGCCATTACCGCCATGTTTTTGACCACGGGGTCCAGGCCCCTTTTCCCCTCCAGGTCTTATAAAGCTCAATGGTTGTTGTAGAGATCACTGGTGAAGGACTTTGGTCTGCTGAACTCTAACACATCTGAAGCGATATATAGAAAAACTGGTATGTTGCGTACATAAGGGTAGCTTTTCACGAAGTGAGTTAAAGTAATATATATTTGGGCGACTGGTTGTTCTCGACTCCCGAAGTCAAACGGCACCAAAATGAAAGAGAAAGATCGAATTAAACAAGCTGGTTGTCACAATTTGTAGAAGCTATTGACGTGACTCTGAAATGGCTAGAACACAAAGGTCAAATATGAAAGTTGGCGCAAAAAAACAGGAGCAAATATTGAGAGGACTGTATAATTTAACGGGTTGGAAAATTTACACTTGTTACTGCATTGTATGGAATTTCAACAAAACAACACAACATCAACTTTACGTTTTACATCTTCCTACTGTGTGTATATTTAATTGTCTATACGTATATTTAGTATGTACGCAAAGTATGTTTCATTTTGTCTGAAGAAAGTTATAGTTCTTCGAATCTGCTTCTCCCTCTACTTTTAAAATTGTTTGCTAAAAGGCATTTATTAAAAGCATGGATGCCAAGTTTGTATGTTGCCAATTAAACCTTTAAATATGGAATGTTAGGGGAGGAATTCATGAACCTGAATTACTAAACTACTTAAGTTAAATGATACAAAATAAATGAGAGGATTTAAAAGACAAGGATTTTATGTTGGAATTACAGTTAAAATTTTTTTGTCCGAAGAATTCCAACTATGTATGCAGTGACCTTTACTATTTTGAGCATCACGTTCAGACTGGCTTAATGCAACCAGTGTGTGCCCATGCAGAGATCTTTAATATTTGGTACAGTTTGACTCTGTAGATTTATGTATTTTTAACTAACGTTGTTGCACTTATTTCTCTTCAAAACTTTTTGCTCCATTTATCATTCAGAGGTTGGGAACAATGCTCAAATCTTCGTGATAATGGAAATAGCTAGTGCATTTCTGACCAGCGATCAAGATCTGTTTCTAGGTAAGCGTCAATACATAGTGCATTGTTTGAAAGATGTCAAAGACCACCAGGATTCCATGGTGAGTCTAGTCGCAGATGCAAAGCTGCGAGTAGGTTGCTTAAAGAATGTTATAGATGGAAAGCGTCGATTTCCCAAAGGGCATGCAGTTTGACATCATCGTTAGGGAAGGAAAAACGAAGATCGATTTATGTAGCCGGCGATTGAACGGGGCAGAAAAAGCTATTTATGAGCTTGCTGGTAAAATGAAAACCATTAAATGGAGTTCACGAGGCATGCAAAGTTCAGGTTGGATTTTGTCTTGTAATTGTATTCATATTCATTGCAAAAAGGCCTATTTCGAGCAGTGGCGTAGCTAGGAAAAATAGTCACTCCCGCCAATCCATCTCGCGCCGGAGGCGCGACCCCACTAGGGGGGTCCGGGGGCATGCTCCCCGGAAAATTTTGAAATCCAGAGCCTTGGAAACAGCATTTCCTGCGATTTCGAGGGCGAATTATTTGTTGTACAATAATTTATAAAAACCCATTTTTGTTAGCTGCATTCTTAATGTGGCAATCGTTGAAACTGCAACTAGTTAAAAGGTACTAAAGGTGGCTCAGAGAAACGTTACGCAGGAGACAATTTTCCCTAAAACATAATTTACTCATCACTGCCCTGCATAAACAGAAGAAATTTGTATTAGCACAAAAATAATATAGTATACGACACTTCTAAAGTGCATAGAGAGAGATTTTCTTAGCATTCTACTTGTTAGTTTAAACTTGTTTAGATTGGGGCAAGTAGACAGGGATGGCTTTATTCTTTAAAGTTATGCTTAATTTTCTCAATGAAGTACCATGTATTATACGAACAAATATCAAAACACATACTATACTCATCATTTATAAAGAAAGGCCAGCCTCCTGGGTTTTCTACAAATTTTCAACCACCTCGTTATGCAACACCTCTGATTCCTCTTTCTTTTCAATGATATCTTTGTGAATAGATATTCTACACAAAGAGCTAAGCCGACCTTGACCCATTCTATTTCTTAAATAGCTTTTACCCTTTTAAGCAAGAAAACGACCTCTCTACTGAAGCACTTGCCACTGCCAACACACCATTCAATTTTAACAAATTTACCACTTGACCTAAACTCGACTGGAGATTAAATTTGAAGATGTATTTAAGAACCTCATTACTGCACTCTTTGTGAAAGTCCTTGTCGTTGTAAATGAAGGAAAGTTGACTCTCCAAAGTTTGGATGTCAAAAGAGGACTATACTTATCTTTGAGAAGATTGATCTTCTCCTGTGGAACTATGCCCTTCCATGTAGTAAATAGTTTAGGATTTACAAGGTCTAAAACTCGAACTGATTAATATCTTGAAATCGTTCACTTAACATGCCTTTAATGGAATCAATAATCTCAAAATAAAGCTGTTTGTAATTGTATCTACTATCTGCTCTGGTTGCTGGTGGGCCTACTTTTCTAGTGCAGTTTGGTAAAACTCGGTGAAAGCTTGATCTGTGCTTGAAGTGACACAATAAACTGCTTGAAATTGTCAATCTTGCTTATGCCATAGTTAAAATGGGTTTCCTATTTTGAAGAATGGAATACAAAATTGTGGACTGTTCTAAAATCCTGTAAAAACACACACTAGAAAACAAAGAGAAAGCTATCAAGATAATGCAGTAAGCCACTTATTTTACTTAATGACTCATCATCCCACCCAGCTGGTTGTTCAAGTACCCCTCAAAAATATCTAAAAGTTTTTCATAGTTTTGTGCAATACATTGATTAATCTAGATAATACCATCTTGTTTCACCAGGGCAGGAAACTCAAGGTTGTTAGATGTGAGAAAGCTTTTCTTTTGGGGCATTGCTTGTAAATGTGCTGAATGTAGCTATATTAATAAAAAGATTTTAACAGGAGAAATTGATGAGGCTGACTGGCATAGGACCAGGTTCAATCTATGAGCGGCACAATGAACAAAATGAGCAAAAGGATACTCTTGTCGAACCAATGCTTGAACACCATTGATATGGCCAGAAATGACAGAAGCACCATCATATGTTTGTAAAACCAGTTTTTCTTTTATATTAGAATACTCACCAAGTTTATCTTTGACAACTTGTGATATTGCTGTGGCATTTCTGTTCATACTTACATCCACAAATCCTAATTGCCTCTCCATAATTTCACTTGCTTTGTCAAACCGAGCAATAACACTTAGCTGCTCTTTGGTGGAGACATCAGATGCTTCATCAACCTGAATACTCATAAATGTGCAATCATTTATTTCCTTTCTGATTTCATCTTCAATAATTGAATCAAGACAGCTGATAAGACCATTTTGAATTTCTGGGAGACTCCAGTAAATCTTCTGTCACCAACTATATCAGATTCTGCTAGTCTACTGTGCAGTCGACGCTCAAATACAGAATCAAACTTAGCAAAACATTTGAGAAACTCTCTATAATTACCTTTGTTCAAGCTACCTTCGGACTCATTGTGACCTCTAAATGGCAACTCTTGCTTTGACAAATACAGCACGGCCTCAGTAACAGTTTTTAAAATTTCTCGATTTTGTCTTACCTCCTCATTGTGACGCTGAATCTCATTTCTTCTAGCGAGGGACATAAGACAATCAATTCGTTCACTAGCTCCATACGTTTTCCATGTCTTAAATGCAGTCAAATGCGATTTAGATTTTTCATGCTTCTTAGCATCAGACATAATACTCCGCATATCGTTGTAGCCATTCTTAGTCCACGATGGCGATGTTTTGGGGGAAAACATTAGACATGGCCAACAAAACACTTTCTGCAAGGTTGTACTGCCACACAGCCAGTCCTTCGCCTCATACCAATCTCTGAAATGCTCTTCCCTTATTTTGGATAGTTAAATCAGGAGTAGGCCGTTCATGAACGATAACATTCTGTTCGACCGACGATCGAGCAGAGAACGGTTTAGCTAATAAGCTATTTACTAAATCAACATCAGTTGAGCAAATCGCAGTCGCACTTGAAGCCATTGTGTCATACACAAATACAAAATAGCAATTTGAGAGTAAACACAATGGAAAATTAATACCGACAATGACACGTAATTTGATAATCACTAATCGCTGTACTCGTATTAAAAGGTCGAATAATTACAACCTCCGCCAATTTAAAATAGCGGGAGTTCGACTATAAAAACAGCAGATTTGAGCATGCGTCAAGTCCCTTAGCCAACCAGAATTCCAAACTTCTTATATAGAATTATATTGTATGTTCCGCCCTCTGAAGATGGGCGGAATACGTGGAGAATCGCGCGAATATGCAATGTGCGAGAAAAGGCGGTTGCTAGGTTACATAACAAATCTTGAGATTTTGCTGTATTACGATTACGAACCACCTAATAAAAGCGTAAATATGAACGAATAAAACATAATATTACAAATTGTTCGTGAAATAATGTATATCTTATGTCCAAATAGAATATTTATTATTTTTTTGGGAAATTTCTACTCCCGCCGGGCGGGAGTGGCGGGACCGCTAGCTACGCCACTGATTTCGAGTTCGCTTCCATTTTAGTCATTTTGTTCCATTGCATTAAGCACACTTTAAGGCAAATAAATTTATTTTAGAAAAAAAGAAACTCAGTCATTTAAATTTCAAATGCATGTTGGGCGTTCACTGCTTATTTCCTGTTCAAAAGATATTAGGAATCCAGTCATTCGTCATTGGACCTGATACAATTTGGTGGGCTTTCTTGTTGTGACGCTAGTCATACGTACATGGAAATTGTTTGATCTCCAGAGTACAAGTGTACGCCTAAGCCGCATGCAAGTTCGACTGACTTCAATTTGATTACAACCCACGCAAGACGACGATCTCAGTCCCAGTTCAGCACCGGCTGAGGAAAAAGTTTTTATGCCATAATGCATAGTGTTTCATTTAAGTTTTATGGATCAGACAGGAGTTCAACCCCGGTTTAAAAAAGCTCCATGTAATCAGCTTCTATAATATTTTTCACATAACGGAAAGTCCCAAACAGCGAAGGGAGTTTCCCAAAATTATTCATCGTTAGGAAACATGTGACTTGGTCACCTTGTCAACAAATGTAAAATAAAAAGCTAGTTAAATTTCCATTTCTATATAAGGTCAGTTGACTCTTAATAGATTATACATGCCAAACATTAGGTTGTATAGCATAACGGAAAGCGATTTCGTCTTAACGGTAACAGTTTAAACTGATTAACCTAGCACAACTAAGCTAGTCTCAATAAATTTTAATTATGGCCTCCAAACTACGGCAGTCTGAAGTTGGCCATAAAAACAAACCTATGAACGCAATTGCTCATAGAGCTAAAATCATTGAAGTCGGGAGAATGTGTCGCTCTGTAAGTGACCAGTTATCAGAGTCAGACGTCGAAAATTCGGGTTGGTTAACAGCGTTAGTAAATGTTATCGATGTGACCTTTCAATGGCTGGAGCACGAAATTCCAAATGTGAACATTAACTCAACAAAAACAGAGCATATATTGAGAGCACTGTACAATGTAACAGGTGGGTGAAATTTCTTTAACTTTGTACTTTGATCAACTTGAAAATATAAAAAGCAACACAACTTACAATGTTTAAAACTTTGAGCTCAGTATACATTGCAGAAAGTACACAAATCATTGACGAAATAGCCCGATTCTTCACTCAGGTGCGCAAATATTTTGTGTTAAGTCACTGGAAAAAATTCATAAAATCAGTTATGTCAAGAAAATTTGTATAGAGAGAAAATTTTGTAGTCTTCGAAATGACGTACTTCAGATATTATTTACCAACCATGCAAATTTAGCATTGCTATACTAATAAAAAATAAATAGTGCAACAAGCTAAAATATTTCGATCAATCAACGATTTCTATTTATATTGTAGGTCTTGAGCCAATCAGATTGCGTAGAACCTTAATTGCTATTTGATATTCCCAAAACAATTTTCTTCAATTTTTTGACACAGATTCGTTGTATTTCAACAGAGATATCGGCTTTTATACTTAGCCTTTAGATGTAGCAAGAAGTAATATTGCTTTTAAACTTGCAGTTTCGCCCTAATAACAATGATTTTTTCAATGATTTTCTGAAATGACAATAAGCAATTCTTCGCTGAATGAACCACTAAATTACTAGTAAAAGTCGAAAGCAAGTGTTAAATAGTTGTTGGAAAAAAGTAATATTGATTTACTTTAATATTTTTCCGCAATTTTATGTTCGAGTACACCAACAAGAAGATGCATTGACAAAATAATTGTATGATTTCTATGCTGTTAATAGACTTATGCAAATATGCAAAAATTGAAACTTCTAATGTTAAGTAAGGTTGTGCAAATGTTTTGTAAGGCTACAGATTTGGGCATAACAATACTTTAACACAGGCGTACAGAAAGTGAAGCTTAAAGTTGATATCTCTTCCAAAGAGTAAGTAGTTAAAATCTGTGTAAAAAAATTTATAATTTTCTTTAATCATCATTTAAAAATGTTTAACTCTTCGTATATTTAACGATAATTTTAGGTTTAGCGCAATCTCATTAAATCAAAAGCAAAAATGTAAATAATTGCTGATTGCAGAAATTTTTCGTAGTTATTTAATAGTGCATCAAGAAAAGCATATTTACTGAATGCTTATGGTCAATATAAAACGTTTACTATGTTACAAAAATAACGTAAATTATATTTCATTTATTATGCAGAATTGGGGAATAATGCGCAAATCTTCCCAATATTAAAAATGACTTTTGCATTTCTAAACAACGAAAAAGATCCGTTCAAAGAGGAACGTCAAAGAATACTGAACTGTTTGGAAAAAGTCGAAAAACGCCAGGCTACTTTAGAATCGTTAATTAATGAAGCATGCAGGCTGCTTAAAGAAATGTTAAACAGTGAAGAAGTCGATTACGCAAAGCAACGGGAATTTGACAACGTCGTCAGGAAAGCAAATGTGGAGATTGATTTCTGCAGCCGGAGATTGAACGGAGCAGAAAAGCTATTAACAAGCTCGCTGAGAAATGGAACATCATTAAATGGGTGTCACGTGGTATGCGTGCTTCAGGTTGGATTTATGTCCTTTCAATGGCATCCAGGGCCTATTTCTTCGTTTCCTATGTTGCCCTGTTGTTCAATCACCTTTGAAATTTCAATTTTGCGTAGTGTCGATGTTTCATGAATCGTTTTCAAGTCATTAAATTTTACTTATTAGCTGTGCTATTCGGCAGCTGTCGTAATTTGCAAATACAACCAAACATTATTCGCGAGTAGCCCTAGTGAACGCCTGATAGGCTTCCTATTCATTTCTAAAATCGAATTAGAATTTTTTAACTGCCAATTTTCCAATCTAGGCTATTGCATCACTTTCTATGTCCTCTACAAGCAATATGAAGAATCAGGTAAGTCATCATGGGACCTGTTAAAGTTTGGTGGGCTTTCCCTGTTTGCAGGCAGCCTATGGACTGTCCTTATTCCAGGCAAAGCAGGCGTTATCAAAAAATCTTTATCTAAACTTAAAGACGATCACCTTTCGCTGAAAGAGAATCTGGAAGATTTACGCACAAATTTGTCAAGCATTACTGGTTTCAGAGATGGACTATTCGATTTAGAATGAGGTTCTACTCAGGCCGTACTCTATGTAGCTGATATCTTAGGGAGTTCTAATGAAGTTTTAATGGAGATGGTGTAAATAAAGTGTAAATGATTAGAGAGAGAGCAATCTTTAGTGTACAATAATATGGGAGAAATGTAACAACTTTCTCGTTCGAATTTCGAAGCAATTAAACCTAAATTAATAAATTAGTTTTACTGTAGTCATCAAACATTATTGCCATTTTATAAAAGTTTCTGGCATAATTTACATTCCTTTGCACAATCATATCAAGCAACACATACCAAGCACGACTAAAACTGTGTCTATATAACGAATTGTTGTTGATAATATAATTAAAATTATATGCAACATTAGGTTCTTTGAATTACAGTTAAGATAAGAGCTGGTATTTTTGTTGATGTATAAAAATTGAAGCGAATAACATTACCACTACTATGTCAGTTTGACTTTTATTAATTATGGCTGTCAGGGAAATGTCAGTATGGCTGTCTGAAGCTAGCTATGAAAACGAGCCTATGAATGCATTTGTTTATAGAGCTAAAATCATTGAAGTCGAGATTGTGTCGTTCTATAGGCGACCAGTTATCAGAGTCAAAAGTCGAACACTACCAAAATGAAAATTTGGGTTTGTTAGTACAGTACCTAAAAGCGCTTGTTGAGACTCTAAATTTGCTGGAGCGTGAAAGTCAAAGTGAGAAATTAGAACCAAGAGAAACGGAGCTAATATTGAGAGGACTCTATAATTTAACAGGTAGGTTCGTATTACATTTCCCAGGCCGTGGGAATCGCATACAGTGTTACAGCACCCATATACATAAAATTTACAGAATCCGTACAAAACTTCCAAGCAATACAGTTCTCGATATAAAACTGGATCAAGCACCTCTATGTTCGTATTAAACAAATTTTAAAACCAGTGATACGTGACGAATAAACACGAAACACAACGAAATGTAAAAAAAACTGTGATAACTGTTTTATTAACTGTTATCTGTGATAACTGTGATATCCCAACATATATATATATCAACATATGTCCCAACATATAATAAGAGTGATAAGACTTTTAACGGCAAAGCATTAAACATAAAAATTTTAAAGGCTTTATTAAAAGTCTTAATATTGGGCTAATATATTTTCAATCTTTCTCAACGAATGCCTAATAAATATCATACAAACGAACCAACCATGAAGTAATCTTTTTATACTAGTACTGAATTTTAGATTATAGTGAAAGTTGTTGCTGAAGACATTCAGGCTCTTCAAAATAGATATGTGATTTGCATCAAAAAATTCAACTGATTTGTTCATGATGACACAATAATTTTTCTTTTGTTTTTTTCCGAACAAGATGAAAGGCAACCTTTCTCACGAGGGAACTAGATTCATATTCTGTGATGTCTTTTTCTCTCGAACGGAAGGAAATAAATTCGCTCAGATATTAACTATCTTGACGAAATGTTACTTTTGACGGAAATATTCTTGATGCTCTGGGATTCATGTTTGCCCACGATAAAAATTGTTGAAGAAGTACATCACGATACTGTTTTTAATAATATTGCAGAATTTTCTGACGTATAGTGTATTGATAATATGCAAATTTCACTGATGAAAAATGCCGTATGTTCAATGAGAATGCAAATACCGTTAATATGCGTGCTCTATCGCAACTATTAGGGAGTTTTAGCAAGAGTACGACTACGAGATCGAGTACGAAATTTGACCGTGTAAGGGAATGGCACGAGGAAGTTTGTTATCGTTGTCGCTTCGTAAAAATTTTGCTTTAGTTGTAACCAACAGAACGAGCCTTTTTATTGTGTAAAACACCGACGTTTGCGAAGCAGCTACGGCTATATTTGTCAATAATGATATCAAAGAATCGATAATACTGATTTTGCGAGAGTATAGGACTCTTTACAGTAAAAAATCTTCACTATTTTAGTTTTATGTACGATATATTTGTACTATTTTATTGTTTGTTTACCTTTCACTTTGCGTACGAAATACATGAAAGTTTTGCAGGTCATATTTTCCTTTTTAATGTACATCTGCGCTAAAAAGGTTCTGAATTAAAGCTTGATGCTCGAAAATAGTACTGTAAACTAATTTCTTACAGAATGAAGAAATATACCTACTCTTTGCTTAAAAGACATCGTAGTTGCGACTACGAATTTTTACAAAACATCGTACTCAGATTGATGACGGCTACGTGTTTTGTTGTCGCAACAATGTTTTCGCAAAATGACGTAAATCGTACTCGTAGTCGTACTCGTAGGCTTTGCTAAAGCTCCTAATATTTTGCTGCGTTTTCTTAATGTTCCGATTTCGGTAAGATTCATGCTTTGAATTCCAAAGACCTTTCTCGGCTTCTTAAAGATTCCAACAGTAGAGAACGTTGACTTAACCTTGACTCGTCCTCCACCGAGCTGATGCCACCATTGACATGTTTTTATTTATGGAAAGCCATAGTGGACAAAAGTAGTCGAAATTTTTTCCATCGAGATTATTTTTACTGTTGAGAATACAGGTTATATAGTCCAGCTAGATAACTTTTTATAGTCGAAATTTTTGGAGTCGATAATATTTTGGGCAGTCGAGAATTTTTTGGCAGTCGATAATATTTTGGGCAGTCGAAATTTTTGGCAGTCGAGAATTTTTGGCAATCGAGAATTTTTGACAGTCGAGAATTTTTGGAGTCGAGAATATTTTGGCAGTCGATAATTTTTGAAGTCGAGAATTTTTGGCAGTCGACAATTTTCTTGGAGTCGAGATTTTTACAGACGAGAATTTTTGTGGAGTCGAGATGTTTTACAGTCGAGAATTTTTGGAGTCGAAATTTGTTTACAGTCGAGAATTTTATGGCAGTCGAAATTTTTTCGCACCAATTTTTCCGTTTATAGGCTCATTAAAAACAATATGGCCACTGAATCTTTATCAGGTGCAAGAGAGATACTTTCGCAAATATTTAACCGTATCGAAAAATTTTCGGATGCCTTGGCAAGTACCGGGGCATCTTCCAATAACTATGCTAGTGTTGAAGTCCACGACTCGGTTAAGAATGAAGTAAGAAAGACGTTTGGACAACATTCATTATCATCAGGTATGGAAGTAAATCAACCAAGTAATACAACGCAGTCGCACTGCACAAATCATGCATCCGTCACAGCTTCTTCACATCTGGCAACTCCTACAATACCAGAAGATATTTCGGTGACCAACAGTCAACTATGAGATCAAATCGTTGGAGAAAATGTTCTAAGTCGAAAAGTTAGTACTGGGCCATTCTCGCGTGATATTATCTTACTATCATGTCCAGATGACAAGAATGTACCTCGTCAAGGAGGAAAAGTTTTCTGCAGGAAAATGATCACATCATCTGTGCGTTTGAATTTCACAAAGAGTGGACTGACATTGACGTAGAACTTGAAATACGCCAAGCTTTTCAAGGAACCCTGCCTGATGACGTGGAAATTGAGATTGTGCATTCTGTCCATACAGCACTTCTCAAACCTACATTAGCTCAAGGTCAATACTTAAATGGTTCTGTAATCAACAGAATCTTTAGTAACAACAAACCAGTTTATATTAGGCCCTGTAGACAAATCCTAAATCAGTCTACAAATAAAGAGAAACGTAAAAGGTATAGTCTTCCAGAAAATGTGTTTGACGATGTTGAGGACGATGAATTATGGAGGTTATCAAATGATTCAAGTCTTAATGAAATCTTAATTAACAATTTTTATGGTGGGATTTGAGAAAATATTCTTTTTTTTATTGTTTTGGAGTAAAATCTCTTGAAATCTATAGCAGTATATATACATGTTCTGGGATGAAAAAGTTTAAAATATATAATATAAAGCTTTTATACATTGAAAGAACAAAATTGTTTAATGTTTATACTTCAGTATTTGTCATAAACACTTATTCATATATTGTAATTTATCAAGCAAATCAAGCTCAATATGCGTTTTTTTAACGCATTTATTATCCAGCGTACGTACGCAATCAAATGCGTTTTTTTAACGCATTTATTATCCAGCGTACGTACGTTGGACGGCTATTACCCATGTATATATAACATCCATTTTCACCATATACTGCATTGTATAACTACCAAAAAGTTACATATGACAGTTCAACAAGTATTTATTCAACAAAATTTTTTTTTAACGCATTTATTATCCAGCGTACGTACGTTGGACGGCTATTACCCATGTATATATAACATCCATTTTCACCATATACTGCATTGTATAACTACCAAAAAGTTACATATGACAGTTCAACAAGTATTTATTCAACAAAATTTTTTAACGCATTTATTATCCAGCGTACGTACGTTGGACGGCTATTACCCATGTATATATAACATCCATTTTCACCATATACTGCATTGTATAACTACCAAAAAGTTACATATGACAGTTCAACAAGTATTTATTCAACAAAATTTTTTTTTAACGCATTTATTATCCAGCGTACGTACGTTGGGCGGCTATTACCCACGTATATATAACATCCATTTTCACCATATACTACATTGTATAACTAACAAAAAGTTACATACGACAGTTCAACAAGTATTTATTTAACAAAATTTTTTTTTTAACGCATTTATTATCCAGCGTACGTACGTTGGACGGCTATTACCCATGTATATATAACATCCATTTTCACCATATACTGCATTGTATAACTACCAAAAAGTTACATATGACAGTTCAACAAGTATTTATTCAACAAAATTTTTTAACGCATTTATTATCCAGCGTACGTACGTTGGACGGCTATTACCCATGTATATATAACATCCATTTTCACCATATACTGCATTGTATAACTACCAAAAAGTTACATATGACAGTTCAACAAGTATTTATTCAACAAAAAGTTTTTTTCAACGCATTTATTATCCAGCGTACGTACGTTGGGCGGCTATTACCATGTATATATAACATCCATTTTCACCATATACTGCATTGTATAACTACCAAAAAGTTACATATGACAGTTCAACAAGTATTTATTCAACAAAATTTTTTTAACGCATTTATTATCCAGCGTACGTACGTTGGACGGCTATTACCCATGTATATATAACATCCATTTTCACCATATACTGCATTGTATAACTACCAAAAAGTTACATATGACAGTTCAACAAGTATTTATTCAACAAAAAGTTTTTTTCAACGCATTTATTATCCAGCGTACGTACGTTGGACGGCTATTACCCATGTATATAACATCCATTTTCACCATATACTGCATTGTATAACTACCAAAAGTTACATATGACAGTTCAACAAGTATTTATTCAACAAAATTTTTTAACGCATTTATTATCCAGCGTACGTACGTTGGACGGCTATTACCCATGTATATATAACATCCATTTTCACCATATACTGCATTGTATAACTACCAAAAAGTTACATATGACAGTTCAACAAGTATTTATTCAACAAAATTTTTTAACGCATTTATTATCCAGCGTACGTACGTTGGGCGGCTATTACCCACGTATATATAACATCCATTTTCACCATATACTACATTGTATAACTAACAAAAGTTACATACGACAGTTCAACAAGTATTTATTTAACAAAATTTTTTTAACGCATTTATTATCTAGCGTACGTACGTTGGGCTATTACATGTCTATATAACATCCATTTTCACCATATACTGCATTGTATAACTACCAAAAAGTTACATACGACAGTTCAACAAGTATTTATTCAACAAAAAGTTTTTTTCAACGCATTTATTATCCAGCGTATGTACGTTGGGCGGCTATTACACATGACTTCGTAACAACTTTTCAAGTGCCCTTTACGTAAATTGATTTTCTAATTAAAGGATTTTCAAGAGCTTAAAGTGCCTGCACAATCCCCGTTATACATCATCGCTGGTGCTTTCATAGTCGTCTTCACTTGTTTGACCGTCTTCAGAATCCACTTGTTCATATACAACCACTTTTTCTTCGTCATCCAGAGCCGACACCAGATCACTTTGAAGCATGTCAACATTCCCATGAAATAAATACTGTGGTTTGTCTTTGTTGATGTACAAAGAAAACCTTTTTTCTAGATCTATCAACATGCTTCCAATTTGAAAGATCTTCCTGTGTAAAAATATCGCTTCACCGTATTCAACATCAAGTACGTTTTCATGGTTAATAAAACTATTCAAAAAGTCAGTAATTTTGCTGTGCTGTTGAAAGTAGTGACTCCACGTATTTTCCATTTCTGACTTCAACAGGATTTGCTCTTCCTTGGATCGGTCAAGCAAATAGCATAAATCTATAGCCTTCCGTTTAACAGTAAATGGAACTGAACAATCTTCATCAGTAGGTGCAGCTAGATATTCACACCAAAATCATTGTCAGGATCTTTGACAGCATCAAATGTTAATGCGGTATGTGAATGATTAGAATGTGATTCTTTTGCCTCGTTATAAGCTGCGATATCTTTATTGACATCCTTTGTTACTCGAGTAATTTGCTTCGAAAGTCTGGATGCCAACGCTTGACCATCTGAAAAACAGAACAAACATACAGAGAACATTACAAAGAACATGTAAAGTAATTTACAAACATTGCAAGTGGTATGGAACATTTATGAGATAGGTAGAGTTACCACAGTATTTAGACTTAAGATTTAGGAGAAACCATCTTTCAACAACATTTTCCTCATTCGAGACAAAACACGTTTTTTCCTAGACGCAACCTCGCATTTTGCATTTTCGTACTCTGAGTCAGTATTTTGCCAGCGTGCAGAAATGAGTTTTCCCTTTCCATGATCTTCAACTGCTCGTCAATTCTAAACAGTAAATACCAAATCATTACAAATATAAGGCACGGTCAGATAAGCACCTGCAATTGCATATACATCTCTACTTGTACGTACGTATAAAAACAAGAAATAATTTTTTATTCGATATTCCAACTTATTATTCACAATGTTACGACGTACATTAATAGCTTCAAAATTTTCCCAGTTCATTTTCTAAATGCACACTGTTTAAGACTTTAATATCTCTAGGAACAAGTTCAACTTTTCAAACATACTTTTCATCTGATTAAATCGAACAGTCAGTTCACTTGGATCAGTGCAACCATTCCATCGATGGTAAAGATCAGCGTACAAGTCCAGGTATATAACGTACTTGCATTTCCAATCTTCTTCTTCTGTAAGTTGTTGAAGATTTACGTATATTTGTTAAAAAAAGTTTTCTGTGGGCAAAACATTCCACATAATGAGCATCAATAATTATGTGTCAAATCTGTTCCATAGCTACAAGCCATTGTTTCTCAATTACTAACCAGTCTCAACTTCACGACCAAAAAAAGTCGATTCGTCCTTCATCCACTCACGAATATTATCTATTGAAATCCTGTGAGCTTTAGATAATGAAAAAAAGAAAATTTACTGCTTTCATGTGAGTCGTAAATAGTTCATATCCAAAATCGGAGTCAAATATAACCACACAGCAAATACAAACATATACTCACACGGAAAGCACCTGCATAACTTTTCAATATCTGATTTTGCAGTTTCTTCCACGTCAACAGCTCGCTTCATCCTTGCCATCAGCAAATTGCCTCAAAACAAAATTTAATTCATACCTGCTATTACATAATATGATGACATGTTAGCTATGTATATGTTCAAACAAAGAAACAAAAACTAGTTATACCTAAATTAATCTTCGTTTCTTTCCATAATGTAAAGAGCATCACTGAGTACATCAACTCTGTGACTTGGACGCATTTCTTTAGTCATTCTGCTAAATTTGCGAATGTAAGCCCACAATCTCCTACATCTCACCGTCAGTTAGGCCAAATCCTTCTTTACGACGGGGACTAAATTTAACCTTTTACAAGAAAGATTTAGCAAAACATTTTTACATCATATCACCATCATGACCAAAAACCAAAACAACACAACTAACTTGGCATCCAACACATAGTAGTGAAAAATTGGAATTGAAAATTGAAAATGTCAATAATTGGATCCTCCAAATTCTTTTGTAAAAACAAAATAAAAAACATGTGAAAGACTACCTTTCAAAGAAAAAGTGTTGAGGGAAAGTTATTGACTAAGGAAACAGTTAACAAAGCAACTATTGTCAATTGAATATTACCTGTATGTGTTTCACCAACATGCATGCAACATCATACAATATGTTTATTTTGAGCAGGTTTATCAGCATTATCTTTCTCTAATTTTGGAGAACATAAACTGCATAGCTCAATCTATAAAATATGTAGAATATTTTTAAATAATGCAACCACATGTATGCAAAAGCTTCAGCACTTGCACAAAGCAAATGAAAGTAGCAAACCAACTGAAAAATAAATTTACACCATCAAATGCAAGCATCTTAACCACACCTCATTCAAACCAAGAACATTTAGGTAAAATAGAGAAAAAAATGTGTAATAGACTCTCCATGTTTCAAATTTAAGAATTTTTTAGAAACTTATGTCGACAGCCTCGCCCAAGATTGCTGTTTCATCAAGAGCTCTGTAGCGATTCATTGATCGAACAGCATTCCCAGCAAGAAAACCATGACACTCCTATAAGTATCAGTATGTAACAAACAAAAAGTATACAAGAGCTTTATTTCCTAAAGCCCACGGCAATTTATTGAAAATAAAACTATGTGGTAGAGAATGTAAAAAATCAAATATATTCAAAGCACTGTAACTTCCATGCCTGAATTTTCATTAGAATAACAAAGTATATTAAAGCTACATTGACCTTGTTTGATGTAGGTGTGGTATAATTGGCAACAAATTGATCAACATGTGTCTGATCATAGAACATCAGCTGTTCAAATAGAGGTTTTCCAATACTCTGCCCAGCTTTTTCCTTGATCCAATAAAAGAGCATCAAGAGACTCAAAGATCACACCATCAGTCTTCAATAAAATGGTGAAGGATAAAATCATGCAATGTATTTGAGTTCAATGATGCAAATGATGCAGTCAAAAAGGTGTTTAAGATAGCATTGCTAATGTTCTTTTTACTAAATTGTCATTGTTAAACGAGTAATATGAATATACTCACTTTGGACAAGCAGGACAGATATTTCCTTCATCAAGCTCAGGAATAACACAGCTCAACATGTTTAGTTCATGTCTGTAAATTCTGAAAAAAACAATGACACAAAACAATTATGCACTCTTAAACAAATGACATAAACAAAATACAGTGCAATACAGTAATACTTGAGGAAAAATCCTTTCTCATCATAAACTTTAGCATTTTGATTTCCTCCAATTAAATACATCTCTTAAGATGAGATTCTTAGGCTATAAAATTGACTGCAACTTTCCCAGCAATTCATACGTGTAGCAGTGCAATAAATCAGTGACCTACATGCAATTACCTGTATTCTTCAAAAGCATCTATAATGACAGGATACATTTTTGGTGTTGCATAAGAAGAAAATATGTGGTTGTGATTAAACTCTTCAAATGACTGACAAATGCTTTTTATTGATGCCTGGCATTCCATCTGCACAGAATGAACCAATTCAAAAAACTCAATTGCAAATGCAATTCTTGGTTTTGTAGGTGTTCCACCCCAAAGGCCAAATTGCAGAAGTTGAACAAACTCGGGAGCATGAGCAAAACTGTACCTCAACAGTACAAAAGGTGCCTAAAAATTGAAAAAGATCCAAAATTATAATTGTGTTGAACCATCCCAGCTAAAATGAAGAAACTTTTACAGCACATTTTACATATAACATACCTTTAACATCAACAACAGAAACACTTCTTTTGTGACAAGCTGTTTGGCATGAACAATCATACACCAGCATGTTCATGAGTTTATATGGCCAAAACATGCCATCCTACAAAGCAATGAATAACCTCGTAGAAATTCATTGTAATCAATCCCCTTTCTTGCAATCATAAAAAATATTAGATTAGTGCTTTGTAGCATGTTTCACAATGTAAACTCTCATTTTATTTTTGCATTTTTTATTGCAAGTGTTGAGTGAGTTAACTGTAAAGACTTTTATAATATCTACCATAAAGGTTACCTTAAATATTTCAACATGATGACAAATATTTACGGTTGTGTGCATCTTTAACATACAGTTCTCACAATACTTTGCCATTGGACCACAATCGCTGCACCTAAACTTTGCTTCATTATCACAATGAATACACTCGATTGCTCCAATTTTGCCAGCAAACTGAAATGTATTCTTTATAACTGAATGTCATAAAATTTTCCCATGCTTTTTTTCTTTCAACCTTTCTGGTAATAAGAAGCTGATTCTTCACAATCATGGCGAACATCACTTTCAAGATCACTGTTATCTTGTTCCATTCCCAGTTCATGGCCTTCCAATGCACCACAATTATCAGGACTGTTAATAGAACAGCTTCCTCTATGATCCTCAGTAACCAATTCTGACAAATCCACCTCCTCTCTCTCATGGCCATCCATCCTCATGATATGTGACAGCTACAGTTGCTTTAAACCTTTTATTTGTCCTACAAAATTATCATAAAAATTTATAAAATGATAATAAATGTTGAAAAGTCTAACAGCTATAAGGCCGTTATTTGGTGTACCTTGGCATCTTTTAACATTACCAGTAAGAAAATCACAAATCAGAAAATATTATCGATATTACCAATGACACAATAACATAAGTTAATCGACCAAAGTACAACGTCGTATCTTCTCACGACTACCAGCCGACGTTTTGTACCCGTACTTTACCGGCTATTAGCCACGTCTCACAACGAGGAATGGGAAAAGTCAGTGAACTCCATATATATATATATGTTTGTAATCTATTGTTTTATAGTAATTGAACACAGATCAAATAGTTACATAGCACAACCAAACTTGTGAGTTGTGAGCTGGCTTTGCCACACCATTATTACATATATACATTAGATGGGCAGTGCTTAGACTTTTCTTCAAGTCTAAATTGGAGAAATAAGACAGCTCCATCCTCCACTAGTCTTGGGGTTCACCTTCGGCAAGTGATAGCACCCTCCAGCATACCTCCTGGGTCAGGTTATTATTATAATTTAAAAGCAAATCAATGTTATCGATTGCCACTATAGCAAAATTCACATAAATTTAACTACGTTTTCAATGAAAATATAGTTGATCTGTTTGTTTTGTATTTATAGTCTATCGTGAAAAATGCATTATATATTGCATCCTTTTGTTAAAAATAAACGTATGGATTTCATTTCAACGATATATATTTATATTTATATATGATCCTCACCTTGCTTCTCGATTTATCACTTTGATTCACTTTCCGTGAACCTTTTCATTCCAAAAAGTTCGTTATTTTTACGCTCTGATCAAGATCCGAACTCTAACATTACCAAGGGAAAATTGATTTTCGTCTCACAAGACGAATGGGGTGATGATCGGGGACGCGCCTATTAAATTCCTGGTCAGCGGCAAAAGCCTTGACATAATAATCGCTATAAGTACAATATGTTTCTTGTATAAAATTTCATAACACAAATCAACACAAAGTATACAACTGGCGCATTGGCTTTTACAAAATATGCGGTCTTTTTATAACGAATTTTACTGCAAACGCGCATTGTGGTATATTCTTTGTTATTGAGCTTGCTTGTAATATGTTCTAAAGATATTGATGATGCTCAAAAGTATTCTAATCGGTAAGTCGTTTTTATTCGGCACTTTTAAATCTTACAATTTATGTTTTGTATTATTAATTTATTATACAATTGTCATGTCTGATTATGGGTAACAAAAGTACTCTGTCAGAGTTTGTCCAAAGTCAACATTCAGACAACTTGCATGAAAGTACTGCCCACATGAATCACATCCCAACCAGTCTTCACCATCATCTATCTTGCAAATCTTGCATACCAAACTATTTCTCCTAATAAAATAAATTTTCACATTTTACTTATGGTATAGTAAACAAGCACACAATTTATAACATTACAAATGTCAGATTGATTTTATGGATAATTCCAACAAATAAATCGACTTTTAATGTTTTTGTCTAGTTTAATGTTTTGTCAATTAAATAAAATCTATAATTTTTATTAAAATATTTAAAAAATATAATTTTTTGTTATTACTCATAAATGTCATCATGGCAAGAACCCATAATCGTTGATCCGCATTGCCTCACTTTTCTCATGTGTCAAACTTTGCATTTATGTCAAGATTTTGACTCAGATATTCAACAAACTGAAATGAAAAAATAAAATAGATTTTTTAAATTGTTATTTCTTAGAACACAATGTCAAAACAACTAACAGGCAAATAATTATTCCACAGTTAAACCCATCCTCTTGCACATAGTGTGAAGGCTGAATAATAGACCAAGTTGATGTGTTCCACCCACTTTTAGATCAACAAGGGCACTTTATAAACAAAGGGATTATATTATCAACTGCACTATATCAATGTTGCTGTGTGTATTCAAGACATTGAAGTGATTCATTGAATTGGAATTTCAAATACTGGTATTTGTCAAGGAAGTAATGTATGTATACTTACCAAATGCTTTTGATAAACTGTGAAAGTTCAACTCTTGTTGCTTAGCTGATAACTTCTTCTACATGACCTTCCATAGGATCAAGGTAGTATCATACTTTTGTTTTTCCATCATTACCTTTAAAAGTGACAATATTGAAAATAATAAAATTTGTTGCCTTGTCTTAGCTATGTTGTATCCATATTGTATTTACCAAAAGTGTCCAATGGCTCCCAGACATATTGAGAAAATATTATTGTGTCAATCGGCGTGTACTAGATCCTCGTTGCACCAACTGACATACATATGATTCTGCTGGTAGGACACCAGGATATTCACATGAAAGTTTCCATAAGAAAGCATTGATAACCTATAACAATCAGGCTCAATTACCACATCATTTGTCTCTGATGCATGATAATCATATGTGAGCTGTAGAGTGTTTAATCTTGACTTACTGTATCACTAAGCCATCCAGGTGCCAATTTATTTTCAATTAGTGTGGCAGCATATTTAGTCATCTCATTTGGTGGAATGAGGGTCCATAAATCCTGAAGAGTCACTTTGTTTGGTCCAAATTCTAGCATTTGATCACCTAACTTAATTCCATTTAGAGAGGCATTCAGTAAGCGATCCAGTGGATTTGCCTTGTGCTCAGCTGAGACCAGAGGCCGCGGAAGCGGGGGGGGCATTGGGGGCAAGTGCCCCCCACTTTTTACAACAGGGAAAAATTTGCCCTTTTTCTGGAATGAAAGTGCCCTTTTTCATGGTGTAGAAATGCCCTTGTTTTAGGTAAAATTGGACTGAAGAAGTTTTTCTTAGATAAAAGTAGCCCCGAGAGTAGAACAAAGTCTGTCGGCATCATGCGAAATCAGCTATAGCTTAGTTTTTTATCTTGATTACCCAGATGGATCAAAAATCGCGTTTGTTGATTGGGGTTGTCTTCGTAGACGTCCGCCCAGTAACTTAATTAACCAATGAGAAGTCGCAATTTATGATCCACATGAGACTATAAATTCTACGGCAACGCATTGCTCCCGTCGTATTGTCTTTCAGGCCATTGGTCCTACAAAACTGTTGACAATTCATGATCATAATAATTGAAAATTTTGCGGTTTAAATCACTTTTAATCAAAATCATCATGCCTAGAGCTGCTAGGTGAAACGAGAAAAGGAAAAAGAGCTTGTAGAAACAGCTAAAAGGTTGCGAAAACTGACGAGTTTTTAGTAGTGCTCCAGCAGAGAATGTTATTGACCAAAACATCGACTCTAGGTCTAGTTTGACTGCCGTCAGCACAGAAACTCCATCAACGTATTTATCTCCTCATTCTCATTCCAAACCAAAATTCGGCAATTCTGAGTTTATATCGTCTTTAGAGATACTAGTCGCGCCGCCGACCGAGCCAGTTCACACACTTCTCAAACCTAACATATGCGTCTTTGACAAGTTCCAGACTACCTATTGGTAGGACCTATGCAAATTGAGTCAACGGAATGTTTGCTGGGACTCGATTGTAAGAATTTGTGCTGTACAGGCCGGCCAGCCTTACCATCCCTACACTAGAAGAAATAAAGCACACGTCTTACTTTGATTTACTTTGTTGCTCAATGAGCGCAGCCTCTGGAGAACTTTTTACCCAGCGGCTTGTCAAGACACATCTCAGGAGCACAATGACGGCAGCACGCTACAATAATCTTATTGTTATGGATGTAAACAAGGCCAGAACTGACGAACTGGACTTACGTTTAATAGCTAAGGACTTTGTTCTGAAAAACGAACGTAGGGTTAGATTTTTGGGAAGTTTTATTGAGATCAAACTTACTTAATGAAATTGTTCATGTAGTCATCTTAGTTTGTTAGCACGCACGCCAAGCATAGTGAATACGCATAGCATTTTAAGAATGTTTACCAATATTTTGCAGACTTTGAAACTTATCATGATTCATGAAACAATGCATATCTGTAATATGCTAAAACAGTAAGCTGCAAGCTCGCCGGTCAGTGCCACTTTTTGAGGATACTTCCGCGGCCCCTGGCTGAGACGTCAACACTACAGTTGCCATTTAGGAAAAAGTGGACTATGTGTAATGGTATAGTCCTACTCATATTAAATAATTACTACATAGTAAATATAAATACTACCTGAAATGTTACTACCCCTCATCATTGCACAAATATTTTTGGAAAATTTTCTCCATTCAATATTTCTATTGCTATGTGTTTGCACCTGCTTGAATTTCTTTTCATTCTCCTGGTTTTGCACATTAGTGGACACCTATGAAAATAAAAGACTACTTTCAGAAAATACTCGTGACGAGATGTAATCTAAAGAATTACGAACAACTTTTTCAAACGTTGTTTTCGAGTATGGCAAAAATGAGTGCGATTTAGAAGACAAAAACCCACAATTTGGTGATGCCCTTCGTATCGTATATCTAATGGCTGGTGAAAATTAATTTTGAAACAATACTTTAATAAGATATTGGAAAGTAAGATAAGTGCTTTTGTGTTTTTACTCTTTTCGGACGGATAAGAAATTTTTTAAACATAAAAGTAATCATTTGAGAGAAGCTTTTTTGAGAAATGACAAGAAAGCAATTCAATAACTTGTCTTACTTGTGCCATTTCATCGCCCACATTAGTAAGATCTATTGTAAATGGTGTAGACTTTTTTGTCTTGCGTCGTCTGGGAGGTAGGGCCTTATGAAAGATTTGATGGTATTTTGTCTCAGTAACCTTTAACTTTTTCACAGGACTCAATCGAAGAGGCAAACCATTTTCTGTGGGAAAGTTTTGTTCAAGAAACTGTTTCAAGCTTTCAGCTTTTTGCACTGCTTCTTGTAGAGTGGTCTCGTTGTCGATCAGGAAGGTCATACTGTGTATTTGGCCCAGTTGTTCTTGCAAGATCTTTCTGAGCCTTTTGGAACTTTTGTTTGAAGTAGTTTCAAACTTAACTGTTTCTTCGTGGGGTGTGTCGTGGATATATTTTTTGTTATCAGAAGACAACGATTCGTGCAAAACAACGTCTCTTTTGATGGTGCTCCATGATGACGTATTGGCTTCCTCTAGTTCTTCTGGCGTAGTATCTTGTGGCAATCCAAGAGGTTCATTGTCGAGAGTGATGAAAACGCTATTTCGGTAGTCTTCTGGAAGACTTTCGAAATCCTGTCATAGAAAGAAAAACTGCGAAAAAATGTTTGCAAGGGAAATGGGTAGTGTGCCATATGTTGCAGGTACAACTTGGTTCTCGGAAGTCTATGAAATGTTTCTTTCCAACATTGCTCTCGCTCTTGACATTGAACGTGCCCTTCTTTAAATTAACCGGAGTTATGTCGTCCTGTTTGAAAATGGCTGAAGCGTATCGATTTTTAAGGCAACAAAAAGTGCGGAGGTCTGTTGTTGCAAGTATTCTGGGATTGATGGGTTGTCGCTTGCAGTAGGCGCTGCTCAGTCGCAGGTTTGCATCCAAATAGTGCTGAAGAACATCGGGAATGAAAGATTCAACCAACATCACCGCAATACCATACACAGATTTGTCAATACTTTGGGGTAAGTATTCGTATTTAAAGACTCAACGCCATTATTAGTATTAACAATGTTGGTGACTGCTGTTTTCGAAAGCGTGTGCCCATCTGACAGCGCAAAGAAAACCACGCTGTCAACATATTCTCTCATCTTGCTGCATTCTTTATACACTTTGGACTCTCGAAATCTTTTACTGCCTTGTCGTTACTCCTGTTTGGTACTGGCATTAGCAATCTTTTCATTTGCAGAAGGAAGTGTTGTTGCTGTTCATATGACAATCCATTCTTGCTTGCTGGTACTGTTTAGCGCTTGCAGCCTGTGAAAGTCGCAAACATAAACCTGTACATCGGGAAAACTTTCTATCGCGCCTATTTCTGCTAATGAGTAATCCACCATAAAATATTTTGGTTCCATGCTGGATTCCATCCTTTTATAATAGCCAGAGCCTCTTCTATGGCTTCTTCGGTCTCCGTCTGGCACATAAATTCAGCCACAACTTTGTAGCCAACGTTTGAATGAACGCACACAAAGAAAAGCGGTATTGCGTACTTCGTTGTTTTGTATGTGGCGTCCATGAGACACAATTGTCCGCCATAACGAATCAACATTCGTTGTTGCCAATGCTCTTGATGCACAAACAAAAACTTTTTATCCTCCTTTGGAGGAATATCGTTTCTGGAAGCGTTATCTCTTGTGCGGTAGAAAACTTGCTGCTTGGAGAATTCTGTTTCAGGTTTCTACCTTCCTGCGCAGGGACTCTTGATCGTCTTTGCAGTCCTTAAGGGACTCTATTGCTTTTGCTACGTGGTTTCGAATATCCTTTTATTTGGATAGTACCGTTTATTTGTCTTGCGCGGTAGCCTTTTGTCCGTCTTGTGGAAATAAAGTCTCTTCAACGTATTGATCAAGACACCTTTTGACTTCTGTGATTTTAATTACATTGCGTTTTACCAAACTATAAACTTTGTGACCAGTCGGTAATCCATTCGCTGCCCAACTGTTGCCGTGGCACCAATGGCGTGACTTGAATGAGCACTACTAAGAGGTATTTTTAGGTAAAATCGACTGCTGGCGCGAATTTGTGAGGAGGAATCGTTATCCATCTCTCTCTAAATACTCTCCGTTTTGCCATAACCAAGCTGTTTTCTGATGTAAATTGTTCTCGATCGATGTAGTAGTCGAGAAATACTCTGACTTGTCTTATTTGCACTTGTGCTGGACAATCCAGTTTCTACTGTTCTGTAATCGAATCCGTCCTTTTCTTCATAATCATGGTCACTTTTTACGTCGTGTCTGCGAGTGCCTCTGCTGTCCTGAAGTTTGTTAAAATAAAACAGTGTGGTGTCAAGAGACAAATTGTGCACATTTAAATCTTAATCATCATAACGAAGAAAGTACATACAAAGCGCTCCCATGTAAACAATGTCTTGTTTCGTTGCTCACAATCAAAACGGATTTCCAAAACTCAATTGGAATATTTCCTTCTTGCTTTCAAACACTGGCGGTGCTAGAAAAAATAAATGATATGTTTTTCAGCATTTTGTTTAATCTTCAGTAAACATTCTTAATAACTAAGCTATGCATAAGTGTTATATGCTAAGCTATGCATGTGTTATATAATAAAATGTATTTAAAAGTAGCCAAAATAATTGGCGAGTCATTGAACGGTTTTTCCTAATGAGTTTTTTTGCTAATATAGATAGAAATGACTGTTAGATTCGATTCTTCGCTCCATAATGGAATGTCTTTGCGATTATAAAATGTTAATTGGTCGTGCAATATTGCAAGAAAGGAGGGAATGTAGCAGGCTGTGCTGCAGTTGTCGTCGGTTGAAAATTTCTTGGTGTTTTCTCGCTTTAATTTGGGGATAAAGATGCTTGATGCAGTTGGTTGATTACCTGTAAGTGAAAACGTTTATTGCTTTGTTTTGAGTGGTTGTCAGCTTTCACAAACGAGGATAGAATCAATTACCTAAATTCAAAACCTCTTTTCACTTTTCAAATATATTAGCAGTGAAATCAATTTATCAACGTTTACGTATTACGGCCTTTGAAAGGATTAACTGTTCAACAATTACAAAAAGCAACGCTGAAAGCCGACAATGTGAAGAAATAAATTATAAAACATACTTCAAAACATGATCTATAGTAAACTGCTATATTAGCTTTATAATGACTATGAAATAATGTCAAAATATTGCTTTTAGATTTTGTTTCTTGCTATTATATTTGAAATTTTGAGTTTACATTAGTGTTTTTTCGGAATATGTTACAAATTGTTACAGTATGGTGTAACAATTGAAAACAAACTACGAGACCTGAAACTGTTCAAAGTTCTTCCATTTGCTCCACGTTCCATCAATGTATCACCATGCAGTAATTTTCAGAATTTACACTTGCGAGTTTTCTCTAAGGAGGTTTACTTGTTTATTTGAGCATTTCTGCAGATTCACGCTGAAGAATTGTCTGCACATATACTGAGTATGAAACACGAAATTTGTTCCTTAATATATTTTAGTCTGTTGAAATGTTTTAATAATGAGCTGGAGCAAACACTCGAACGGTTTATACGTCTTTATATGAATTTCATTCCACGAGCCAGTAATGTGCCCACTATTTTTTCCTTTTGATGCGAGGTTTTATATTTTCTTAACTGGTTGAGTTAAGAATGAGACCTATAAAGCACTTAAGAAAAACACATTTTCGGTAAGAATGAAAGTGCACGCAGATATTGAACATATAAATTAAAGATAGGCTATCTACTTAAGGTGCAGTTAGGCCGAGACCGATAAAAGCGCTTGAGAAAAACGCAAGTACCTATACGTAAGAATGAAAGTGCGCGAATATTGAACATATAAATTAAAGATATTTATCTAGGTGCAGTTAAGGCGAGACCGATAAACACGAAAACGCACCATAAAGTAAGAAGAAAAGGCTGCGAATATTCAGCATAATAGTATAGGCATGAGGATAGGCCATTTCCTATGATCTGGTAGCTTCGAGATTTATCTCATACGTAAATTTAACGTCACAATGCGCGTTTTGAAGCAACATTTATTTATAAAAATGACGACAGGTTTTGAGCAGAATAATTAGGTTTGAGAATACTTTTGAGCATAATATTATCTTATAGAACATAATATTACAAGCAGCTCAATAACAAAGAATAATATACTTCTGTGCGCGTTTGCAGTAACATTCGTTATAAAGACCGCATATTTTGTAAAATGAAAATGACATATAATACAATGTGGGCGCTGTGCTGTATACTTTGTGCTGTATACTTTGTTACTGATTAGAATACTTTGAGCATCATCAATATCTTTTGAACATATTACAAGCAAACTCAATAACAAAGAATAATATACTTCACAATGCGCGTTCGCAGTAACATTCATTATAAAAGACCGCATATTTTGTAAAAGCCAAATGAACATATAATACAATGGGCGTAATGCTGTGTATACTTTGTGCTGTATACTGTTACCGATTAGTTTACTTTTGAGCATCATCACTATCTTTTAGAACATATTACAAGCAAGCTCAATAACAAAGAATAATATACTTCACAATGCGCGTTTGCAGTAACATCGTGTAAAAAGACCGCATATTTTGTAAATAATGTGGGCGCTGTGCTGTATACTTTGTGTTGATTTGTGTTATGAAATTTTATACAAGATTATAATTGTGCCATGGGTTATTATGTCAAGGCTTTTGCCGCTGACCAGGAATTTAATAGGCGCGTCCCCGATCATCGCCCGGGTTATAGCATTCCCTATTATATAGTTTCACTTTACTGAAGTAGGAACCAAAATGGCGGCTCCGCGCTCGCCCCAGACCGTTGGTCCCAACGCTTATACTATAAGAGGGAGCTCTGATACCCTTTTAAGATTTGAGAAACTAACATTTGATTGCAGGTAGCTGTTTACTTAATCTGTGATTATAGAGTCTTCTGATCCTTGAAGCTTTTTCATTTTGACAATTTGTTTGGATGGTGGTAAACCTGAGTATTTCCTTACATTGAAATGTTGTCCCATGTCACATATTTATCTCCTTTTCTAACTGAACACCTCATGTAAGATGTAAAGGTGTGTTAATCTCCGCTCATACCAGATTGTTTGCCATAAATTCCAAGGGCTATTGATGTATGAAGCGTTTTCTATAAAGTAAAATCATATGGCTTCACCAATGAATAAACTTGAAAATTTGGCAAAACAGCAAAGTATTTTCATGATCACTGGTAAGTTTTTCAGATGAACATTATATTTCTAAACTAAATTATTTCAGATTTACATTTAAACGGCTTTGTCATATGAAGAATGATATTATCATAACCAGTAAGCATGACACATGAACCAATTTTCACATTCATGTAATTATATAATTAAATATTTGGTTACAATCTGTTTGTATTTACAAATACAATGCTGCTAGTGATTTTATATGCACACCTTGCATCATACTTACAGGAGATAATAGTTCAGTAAAATGCCACAATAAACATTTATGGCGTTCGGCTGCCGTCATAGCACCCGTTGATAATTTTTGCTTAATCTTTGGCAGAAAAGTTTTTGAGTTTTTCTGCAAAGGTGAATTTGCTGGCACTGAGTGTGGATGGGGTAAGGGTTACAATAAA